GGGGGGGGGGGGGGGGGGGGGGGGGGGGGGGGGGGGGGTGGGGGGGGGGGGGGGGGGGGGGGGGGGGGGGGGGGGTGGGGGGGGGGGGGGGGGGGGGGGGGGGGGGGGGGGGGGGGGGGGGGGGGGGGGGGGGGGGGGGGGGGGGGGGGGGCGGGGGGGGTGGGGGGGGGGGGGGGGGGGGGGGGGGGGGGGGGGGGGGGGGGGGGGGGGGGGGGGGGGGGGGGGGGGGGGGGGGGGGGGGGGGGGGGGGGGGGGGGGGGGGGGGGGGGGGGGGGGGGGGGGGGGGGGGGGGGGGGGGGGGGGTGGGGGTGGTTGGGTTGGGGGGCTGGGAGTGCTGGGGTGGGTGCTGGTGGGTAGTGGGGGCAGAGGGGCAAGGAATTGGGTGGTGGGTGCCAGGACAGGGGGCAGTGGGGGGGGGGGGGGTGCGTGCTGGGGGTTGGAGCTGATGGGGCAGTGGGTGCTGGGGTGGGTGCTGGGGCAGGGGGCGGGTGCTCAGCCGGCCCCCCACCTGCCTGCTGTCCCCCACCCCATTCCAGGAAGGGTGAGGATGGGTCCTGCCACGTTCCTGGGGCTCTGCCTGCTGGGGTGCCTGGTCCTGCACCCCACACTGCCAGGTGAGACCCCTCGCACCCTGAGACCTTCCAACTGCACCCTGAGACCCCCCAGCTGCACCCTGAGACACCCCCATTGCACCCTGAGACCCCCCAGCTGCACCCTGAGACACCCCCATTGCACCCTGAGACCCCCCAGCTGCACCCTGAGACACCCCCATTGCATCCTAATACCCTCTACCTGCACCCGGACCCCCCTGCTGCACTCTTGGACACCCCCCCTGCACCCTGAGACCCCCCAACTGCACCCTGACCCCCCACACACACCTCAACGCTCCCCATCTGCTCCCTGACACCCCCCCCAATCCCCTTCCCCCACCCTCAGCCCCCCAAACGGGGTTGGGGGTCCCCTGACCCCCCCCCCGGGCTGCCCCCATGGGGTCCTGGGGCCATCCCGGTGACACCCCCGTTCCCCCCCAGGGGCAGAGGCCACCAAGTGTCCCCGGGGGTGGCTGTCCTTCGGGGGCCACTGCTACGGCTACTTCGGGCAGGGGCTGAGCTGGAGGAAGGCCGAGGTGGGTGCCGGGGGTGCGGTGGGTGCCGGGGGGGGTCCCCGGTGCCCCCGGACCCCCCCAGAGCTGGCGGTGCCCCCAGGCGTGGTGCCAGGCCACCCGCGGGGGGCACCTGGCGTCGCTGCACAGCCCCGAGGAGCACCGGGCGCTCGCCACCTTCATCGCCCAGCGCCCGCGGCGCGAGGACGAGGACGACAGCGTCTGGATCGGCCTGCACCGCCGCGTGGGTGCCCTGCCTGCACCCCTCTGCACCCCTGCCTGCACCCCTCTGCACCCCTGCCTGCACCCTTCTGCACCCCTGCCTGCACCCCTCTGCAGCACCCCTGCCTGCAACCCTGCCTGCACCCCTGCCTGAGCCTGCCTGCACCTGCCTGTACCTGCTTGTACTGTCTGTACCTGCCTGCACTGACTGTACCTGCCTGCACCTATCTGTACTGTCTGTACCTGTCTGTACCTGCCTGTACTGTCTGCACCTGCCTGCACCCCTGCCTGCACATGTCTGTATTGCCTGTACCTGCCTGCACCTGCCTGTACTGTCTGTACTGTCTGTACTGTCTGTATCTGTCTATACCTGCCTGCACTGTCTGTACTGTCTGTACCTGCCTGTACCTGCCTGTACCTGTCTGTACTGTCTGTACCTGCCTGTACTGTCTGTACCTGTTTGTACCTGCCTGCGCCTGCCTGTGCTGCCTGTACCTGACTGTACCTGCCTCTACCTGACTGAACCTGTCTGTACTCACCGTAGCTGCCTGTACCTGTGTGCACATATCTGTGCCTGCCTGCACTTGGCTGTGCCTGCCTGCACTTTGGCTATACTTGCCTGCCCTGCCTGCAGTGACACCTGTGCTGTCACCCGTGGTACCTGCACCGCCTGCCCTGTCCAGATGCCTCCTGTCTGCCCCCTGCCTGCACCTGCCTGCACCTGCCTGCACTGCCCCCCGTGCTGTTCCTGTCCCACTGTCCCTGCCTGCACTGCCCCCCGTGCTGTTCCTGTCCCACTGTCCCCCCCACCCCCCGTCCCCCCGTCCTGACTCGGCTCTTGCAGCGCCAGTCGTGGCTCTGGGCTGACGGGTCCCCGCGCCGTTACTGGGCCTGGGAGGGGGACGATGGCCCCGGGCCCGGCCCCGTGGGACAGCCCTGCGCGGCCCTCGAGGACTCGGCTGGTGAGGGGGGACCGGGGAGGTCAGAGGGGTCTGGGAGGGTCGAGGGGTCCAGGGGGTCCTGGGACGGGGATGGGGACAACGGCCCCGCGGGCCAGCCCTGGGCTGTGCTGGAGAACTCGGCTGATAGGGGGGTCCGAAGGGGCAGGAGGGAGGTCGGGGGGGCTCGGGGAGGTGGGGGGAGTCCGGGGGGGTCCCGGCTCCCAGCACCGGCTGCGTTCCCCCGCAGGGTTCATGGCCTGGGAGGGCGAGTCCTGCGTCGAGCGCAAACCTTTCGTCTGCAAATACGCGGCGTAGGGGGACGAGGAGGCTGCACCCCGGGTGCGGCCCCCCAGCTCCGGGGGCTGCCCCCCGACCCTGCCCCCCAGACCCCAGACCCCTGCCCCACACCCCAATCCTGCCCCCAACCCCACGTTCTGCCCCCTCGGCCCCAGGACACGACCCCTGCACCCCAACCCTGCACCCCAACCCCATGTCCTGCCCCCTAACCCTGCCCCCCAACCTCAGACCCCTGCCCCACACCCTAATCCTGCACCCCAACCCCACCTGCTGCCCTCCAGCCCCCAGAACGCAATCCCTGCATGCCCACACTGTCCCCTAACCCCACCTCCTGCCCCCCAAGCCCCGGACTCCTGCCCCACACCCCGATCCCTGCACCCCAACCCCACATCCTGCTCCCCAAACCCCAGAACAACCCCCGCTCCCCAACCCTGCACCCCCAGCCCCACGTCCTGCCTTCCAACCCTGTGTCCTGCCCCCCAACACTGCATCCTGTCCCCCACCTCAACCCCTACACCCCAGCCCCACATCCCGCCCCCCAACCCTCAGACTCCCGCCCCGCACCCCAACCCCTCATCTTGCTCCCCCAAACCCCTGGACCCCAACCCCCTGTCCTGCACCCCAATTTCCAGACCCCGCAGCCCACTGCACCCCCACACCCCCTGCATCCATCCCACCCTGCACCCCCAGACCCCCCCCGCCCCCCCCGCCCCCGCCCCTCACACCCCCCCGCAACTCCCGCACCCCGCACCGCACCCCGACCCCGCACCCCCTGCACGGCGCGCACCCCCACACTGCCCTGCACCCCTCACACCCCGCACCTCACTGCGCCCCCTCCCCTCACGCACACACCCGAGCCCCCCCAGCCCCTCCCGACACGGGCACCCCCCAATAAAGCGGCCGAAGCCCCCGTGACCCCCCGTCCCCCTCCGCCGTGTCTGTGCCCCCCGGGCGGGGGTGACACCACCAGGGGACGGGGATCCCCGCGGGGTGGTGTGGGGGGGGCACAGCCGAGGGTGTCCCCAGGGCAGGGGGTGTCCCCAAGGGAAGGGGTGTCCTTGAGAGAAGGGGGGGTGCCCCCAAGACAACGCCCTGGGGGTCCCAGCCACTCCCTGTAGGGTCCCAGCCTGTCCCGGGGGTGTCCCCGGCAGCCCCACGGGGTCTCAGGCACGCTCGGGGGGTCCCAGGCAGCCCCCACCCCCTCTCCCTGTGTTCCTGTGTCCCCTCCATGTCCCCGGTCCCCGTGTCCCCCCTCCCGGCGCGGTTTGTGCCGGTGCCGCAGGGACGGGGTGGGGCGGGGGGAGAGGAGGGACTGCAGCCCCCCGGGAACGACCCCGGCCTGGGGGCTCCCTGCGGTGCCGGGGGGCAACCGGGGGGTGCTGGGTGGCTCATAGATTGGGTGCAGGGGGTGTATCCATGGGCTGTATCCATGGGGTGCTGGGGGCTGCAGCAGTGAGGTGCCGGGATGTATCCATGGGCTGTATCCATGGGGTGCTGGGGGTGTATCCATGGGCTGCAGCAGTGAGGTGCCGGGATGTATCCATGGGCTGTATCCATGGGGTGCTGGGGGTGTATCCATGGGCTGTATCCATGGGGTGCAGGGGGTGTATCCATGGGCTGTATCCATGGGAGGCTGGGGGTGTATCCATAGGCTGTACCCACGGGCTGTATCCATGAGGTGCTGGGGGTTTATCCATGGGTTGCTGGGTGCTGCATCCATGGGATGCCGAGACTGCGTTCATGGGGTGCTGGGGGTGCATCCGTGGGGTGTATCCATGGAGTGCTGAGGCTGCATCCACGGGATGCCGAGGCTGGATTCACAGGATGCTGGGGGCTGCATCCATGGGGTGCCGGGGTGTATCCGTGGGGTGCTGGGAGTTTATCCGTGCGATGCCGGGGCTGTATCCCTGAGGTGCCAGGGCTGTATCCGTGCGGTTCCCGGGGTGCTGAGCACGGCAGGGCCGGGGGGCGGCACGGGGGGATGGAGCCCTGGGAGCCCCGGGCCATTGTGACACCGCGGCCACCGCGCCGGCGGCGCCGGTGCCGGTGCCACCGCCGTGCCACAGTGACCACGGTGCCGGTGCCACCACCGCACGCCGGCACCGCTGCTGCCACAGCGACCACCCTGGGCAGCTGGGCTCTGGCACCCACATCTCCCCCCGAGGGGGCCAGGCGGGGGGCCAGGCTGAGGAGGGGGCGCTTCCATCGGGACTCGCCATGTCCGACAACGGCTGGGTGGGCTCCTGGAGACCCCACCGCCCCCGAGGGCCCATCTCCGCCCAGTACCGCACCCCCGGCCCCAAGTACGGGCTCCCCGGCAACGTCGGTGAGTGAGGGGCTCGGGGGGGCCTCGGGGGGCCGGGGCGCTGCCCCGGGGCCGGGGGTCCCGCGTCCCACCGAGCCCCTGCGCACCCCCAGGTTACAACCAGCACGACCCCACCCGGAGCCGCGCCCCCGCCTACACCATCGGGCTGCGGCTGCCGGCGGAGCAGGAGAACCGCTCCCCCGGGCCCCAGTACCTGGTGCGGCCCGGCTTCACCCACCGCGGCAAGGACGGCATCCCCGCGCACACCATCTGCGGCCGGCCCCGCGCAGACACGGCCAGCAAGACCCCCGGGCCAGGTGAGCGGGGGCCGGGACACCCGCCGGGGCCGGGGACCCCCCGGCCGTGCCCACGGCTCACCCCCCCCGTGCCCCCCAGCGCATTATGCCCCGGAGCGGGCGGACAAGTGGGCCTATCCCAACGCACCCACCTGCTTCCTGCGCTCCCGCCCCCGCGAGTTCGGAGCGCAGGAGACCCCAGGTAAGAGAGGGGAGCAGGGATGGGACCCCCAGCGGCCTCCCCGGGCTGGGCTGGGCTGGGCTGGGCTCCACATCATCCCGTCTGGGCTGGAATCCCCGTCATCCCCAGGCTGGGACTCCATAAACCTCTGTCTGGGCTGGGCAGGGATCCCCATCGTCCCATCTGGGGTGGGATCCCCATCTCCCCCTTGGGCTGGGACCCCCATCATCTCTTCCTGGGCTGGCCTGGGATCCCCCATCATTCCTGGGCTGGGATCCCCATCATGCCCAGGCTCAGACCCCAAGCTCCTCCTTGGGCCAGGACCCCCATCATCCCCTCTGGGGTGGGATGCCCATCATTCCCTCTGGGCTGGGACCCCCATCATCCCCCTTAGGCTGTGACCCCCCTTGAGCTGCCCCCCCTCCCCCTGAGCCAGACTGGGCTCCCCATCATCCCTGTGTTGGGCTGAGCCTCCCCCCCCATTCCCGGGCTGAGCCCTCCCTCCCCACCCCCGGGGGGGAAGCCCGTGCCCCCCTGAGCCCCGTGCCCCCCCAGGCCCGGCCACCTACCGCCTGCCCACCGTGCTGGGCCCCCGCCTGGTGGACAAGCCCTCGGCCCCCACCTGCTTCATCGTGGGGCGCGGCCCCGGCTCCTTCGGCAACCTGAACAGGGTGGGGGGGCCGGGGCGGGGCCGGGGGGAATGGGGGGAGGAACCGAGGTGCCAAGGGGCTGTGGGTCCAGGGTGCCAAGGGGCTGTGGGCCCAGGGTGCCAAGGGGCTGTGGGCCCAGGGTGAAAAGGGGCTGTGGGTCCAGGGTGCCAAGGGGCTGTGGGCCCAGGGTGAAAAGGGGCTGTGGGCCCAGGGTGCCGAGGGTCCGGGGTTCTGGGCATCTGGGGGGTTGGGTGTCCAGGCTCAGGATGGATCGGGGGATCAGGGGTCTGGGGTGCTCAGGGTGCTGGGGGGCTGTGTGGTCTGGGCTGCTGGAGAACCAGGGGATCAAGAGTGCAGAGGGCTTGGGGGGCTCAGGATGCCAAGGTCTTGGGGTGCCAGGGGTCCAGGGGCTGAGGTACCAAGGGCGTGGAGTGCCAGGGATCCAAGGGGCTGGGGTACCAAGGGTGTGAGGTCCCAGGGGTCCGGAGGGCCGGGAATCTGGGATACCAAGGGTGTGGGGTGCTGGGGGTCCAGGGATATGGGGTACCAAGGGTATGGGGAGCGGGGGGCTGCAATACCAAGGGTGTGAGGTGCTGCGGGTCCAGGGCTCTGGGGTGCCAAGGGTGTGTGGTGCCAGGGGTCCGGGGCTCACGTCACTCCCCCCCGGCCCCGCAGTCCCCCGGCCCCAGCCACTACGCCCCAGTGCGGAGCGACGTGTTCCTGCCCCGCTCCCCGCGCTGCACCATAGTGGGGCGCACGGAACCCCCCAAGGCCGCCGCCACCCCCGGCCCCAGCGACTACAGCCCCCCGCAGGTGAGCGGGGACAGGGATCCCGGCGGGGGGCGGTTCTGGGGGACAGGGTTACCCACAGACCCCCGCCCCCGTCACCCTGCCCCTGTCCCCCCGCAGGTCCGGCGCCAAGGGGTGACCTTCGGGGTGAAGCACTCGGAATTCCGGGCCCCCGTGATGATGGACGCGATGGATTAGGGGGCGTGGACATGCGGGTGACAGAGCCCACCTGTGACAGACGGACAAACACGACCCTGCAGCAGCAGCACCCGCCCGCGCTCCTTCTGTTCCTCTGCGCCGCACGGGGGGGCGTCAGGGGGTGCCGGGCCCCCCTAAAAGCCGCTCTTTCCCCATCCCGAGTCCTCCCCTCCTGGGGGAGACGCTGGCGAGGCCATGGGACCCCAGAGCCCCACGGCCCCCTCGGCGGGGCGGGATGTGCCAGGGACGGGGGATGTGCTGCCCACACGGGTACCCGCCCTCTCCCTGCTCCAGCCCCTCCCTTCCCCATCCCAATCCCACCCCATGCCCTCCCCTTCCCAACCCGATCCCCATCGCCTCTCCACCCCCATTCCCATCCCCATCTGATCCCATCCTCCTCCCATTCCCATTCCACCCAGGGCCTCGGGGCATGGGGGGCTCTGGGAGGGAGGGGACACTCATTAGCGCAGCGCCGTGGGGACTCCCCCCCCTCCACGTTCTGTGGGGTCTGTGGGAGCTGTTGGGGGTCCCTGGCAGGTCGCGCCCCAGCAGAGCCCTCGGGCATCGCCCGTGACTGCCCACGGGGAATGAGGGAGCCGGGGGGCCCCACCCGTGTCACCCCCCGTGTGACCCCCCCCGTGTGACCCCCCCCGTGTGACCCCCCCCGTGTGACCCCCCGCGGCCTCTCCCGTGCCCCACTCGCTGCCCCGGGATCAGAGTCCACCGCCGGAGCCGCGTCGTCGCCCGCGGGCACCGGGCGCGGGGCCAGGCCTGGCACGGGCAGGTCCCGGCAGCGCCGGAGGGAGGTGCGGCCGTGCGGGAAGCGGGTGCGGCCCTGGGGGGACCGCGGTGAGGCCGTGGGGTGCCGGGGTGCGGCCCTGGGGGTGCCGGGGTGCGGCCGTGCGGGATCGGGGTGCAGCTTTGTGGACGCGGAGTGCGGTCGGGGAGGGCTCGGGGTGCGGCCGCGCGGGGCCGGGAGCCGTCGGTGCCAAATCGGGGGGTCACCGGTGCCATATCCTGGTGCCAGCCGTCCCAAATCGGAGCGCCAGCCGTCCCAAATCGGAGTGTCAGCCGTCCCAAATCGGAGTGCCAGCCGTCCCAAGTCGGGGTGCCAGCTCAGCGGGACCGGGATGGACCCTCCGAGCCCCCTCCCCACCCTGATCCGCAAGAAGCGGGACGGGGAGCGCCTGGAGGACGCGGAGATCCGGAGCTTCGTGCGCGGCGTCACCGAGGGCACTGCCCAGCAGGGCCAGATCGGTGCGTGCGGGCCGGGGGGGCACCCCGGGGGCGGGGGGGCAGCGGGGGGGGTCGTGGGGGTGGGACACGGTGGGGAGCCTGGACAGAGCCGGGGGGACATTGCCGGGGGTCCCGGCAGTGGGGAAGGGGGCTGGGACACCAAGGGAAGCCCCGGGATGTGACGGGGGGTCATGGGGAGGGGACGTGGCTGGGAACCATCCTGGGGGGATGAGAGGGGGACCCCGGGGTATGGGGGGGTCAAGGCCAGGGGACACCGCTGGGGACCCCCTGGTGGGAGCCGAGGGGGACCCTGGGAGGTGACGGGGTGTCATGGCCAAGGGACATCAGCTGGGGGGGGTCCCCTGGGGGACGAGAGGGGGACACTGGGTTGGGGTATCAGAGCCGGAGGATCCCAAGGAAGGGAACAGGGGGCGACCCCCACCCCTGGCCGTGCCCCCCGGGTGCTGATGGCGTCTGGCTGCAGGGCATGGGGCAGGATGGGGGTCCTGGGCGGGGTGGGGGTCCCGGGGAGGGCAGTGGGGGTGACCCCCGGCAGTGCCCTCCAGGTGCCATGCTGATGGCCATCCGGCTGCGGGGCATGGACGCGGGGGAGACGCTGGCCCTGACCCGGGCCATGGCCACCTCGGGCCGGGCGCTGGCCTGGCCGCCCGCCTGGCACGGGCTGGTGGTGGACAAGCACTCGACGGGGGGCGTGGGGGACAAGGTCAGCCTGGCCCTGGCCCCAGCGCTGGCTGCCTGCGGCTGCAAGGTGAGGGGCACCCCGGGGGGCGGGCGGGGGGTCCCCGAGTCCCCGCACCCACCTGTGCCCGCCCACAGGTGCCCATGATCAGCGGGCGCGGGCTGGGCCACACCGGGGGCACCCTGGACAAGCTGGAGGCCATTCCCGGCTTTCGAGTCTCCCTGAGCCCCGAGGAGGTGAGGGGGGAGGGACCGGGGAGGGGACACGGGCACGTGGGCACACGGGCACCCCCACTCCCGCAGGCACTGGGCTTGGGGGCTCTGGGGGGCTCCGGCGGGCTGTGGGGTGCTGATGGGGTGTGAGGTGCCAAAAGGGCACCCATGGGGTCCAGGGGGGGGGTGGGTGCCACTGAGGTGTTGATGGAGTGCAGGTGCCAATGGGTTTTGGGTACCTATGGGGTGCCCATGGGGTGCTGGTGGGTTGTGGGAGCCTATGGGGTCCCAGCGGGGTGCCGATGGGTTGTGGGAGCCTATGGGGTCCCAGCGGGGTGCCGATGGGGTGCAGGAAAGCTTGGGGTGCTCTTGCAGGCGTCAGTGCAGTGCTGATGGATTGCCCATGGGTTGTGGGTGCCACTGGGGTGCCCACGGGTTGTGTGGGAGCCTATGGGGTACTTACAGGGTGCCAGTGGGGTGGAAATGGGATGTGGGGTGCCCATGGGGTGCTAAAGGGGTCCAAAGGGCAGAGGTGGGTGCTGCTGGGGTGCCTATGGGTTGTGGGTGCCAATGGGGTGCCAGTGGGGTATGGGTGCAAACGGGATGTTGATTGGATGCCAGTGGGATGCTGATGGGGCCCCAATGAGATTCCAGTGGGGCGTTGATGGGGTGTGGGTGCCAATGGAATATGAGTGCCAAGGGGGTACCAACGGGGCACGGCTGCCCCGCAGATGTGCAGTGCCCTGGAGCGGGTGGGCTGCTGCATCGTGGGGCAGAGCGAGGAGCTGGCACCCGCTGACCGGGTGCTCTACGGGCTGCGGGACGTCACGGCCACCGTGGACAGCGTGCCCCTCATCACCGGTACGGGGCACGGGGACGGGCACCCCGGCCGGGCACGGCCAGGGAGGGGGCTCAGCCGGTGACCCCCCGCCGGCACAGCCTCCATCCTCAGCAAGAAGGCGGCGGAGCAGCTCTCGGCGCTGGTGCTCGATGTGAAGTTCGGGGGTGCCGCCCTGTACCCCACCCAGGACAGCGCGCGGGAGCTGGCCCGGAGCCTGGTGAGACCCTGCGCCCCCCGGAGCCTCCGGAGCCCCCCGGAGCCTCCTGAGCCCCCCGGACCCCTGCTCTGGGGTTCGGGGCGCTGGGCTGGGGCACCTCTGCCCCGCCTGCTCTGCCCACTGTCCCTACCCGCTGTGCCCTCCCACTCTCTCTGTTCCTGCCCTCTCTCCTGCCCACCCTCCCTGTTGTCCCTGTCCGCCCTTATCCCTGCCTGCTGCCCCTGCCCGCTCTCCCTGTCCGTATCCCTGCCCACTGTCCCTGTCCTTGTCACTGCCCCTCCCTACCCGCTCACCCTGCCCTCTATCCCTCTCCCCTGTCCCTGCCTGTCCCCCGTCCCTGCCCGTCCCTGTCCCTTCTCACTGTCCCAATCCCCGCTTGCTCTCCTGCCCACTCTCCCCGCTCGCTGTCCCTGTCCCTGTCTGTTCTTCCCGTCCCTTTCCCTGTCCCCGGCCCTGCCGGCTCTCCCTGCCCGTGTCCCTGTCGCTGTCCGTGCCCAGGTGGAGGTGGGCACACAGCTGGGTATCCGCACGGTGGCCGTGCTGTCCCGCATGGATCAGCCCCTGGGCAGGGCCGTGGGGAACGCGCTGGAGGTGCTGGAGGCGCTGGAATGTCTGGACGGGGGCGGCCCCCCCGACCTGCGGCAGCTGGTCACGGCCCTGGGTCAGCGGGGGACAGGGAGGGGACACGGGAGGGGGTGAGGGGGACACGGGGTACACACGGGTCCCGTTCCAGTCCTGACCCCTCCCGCCCCGGGGTCCCCCCTCACACCCGGCCTTTACCCCCCCCATCCCCAGGGTCCCACTCACCCCAGCCCTGAATCCCCCTGTCCTCGGGGTCCCCCTCATCTCCAACCCTGCACCCCCCAGATTTGGGGTGCCACCGCACCTCCCCGGTCCCGGGGTCCCCCTGAACCCCCCTACCCCACGTTCCCACTCACCCCCAGCCCTGAACCCCCCAACCTTGGGTCCCCCCGAACCCCCCCAGCCTCAGGGTCTTCCCCCCTCTGTCTGTCCCCCCTAAGCCCCCCCCGGGGTCCTGACCCCCCTCCCCTTCCCCCTGACCTGTCTCCCTGTCCCAGGGGGTTGGGGGGGAGGAGGGGGCAGCGGGGGGTCTCTGGGGGGTTCCCGCGGTGTGAGGGGGGTCCCAGCCCGTGCCGGTTTCGGGGTGCAGGCGGGGTGCTGCTGTGGCAGTGCGGGAAGGCGGCGGGGGCCGCGCAGGGCCGGGAGCTCCTGGGGCGGGCGCTGGACGATGGCTCAGCCCGGAGCACCTTCGAGGCCATGCTGGGGGCGCAGGGGGTGCCCCCCGACACCGCCCAGCGCCTCTGCAGCGGGACCCCCGCCCAGCGCCGCCGGCTCCTGGGAATGGCCAAGGTCTGCGAGGAGCTGCCCGCGCTGCGGGAAGGTGAGGGGGACCCCCACCCCGAGAGTCCAGTGTCCCAGAGTCCCTGTGCCCCCCCTCCGTTCCCATCCCCTCCTGCCCCGCCCCACCTCTGCCCCCTCCGGGATCCTCAGGGCTTCCCTGGATTATTCCCCCCGAACGCCGGGGGTTCTCGCCTGCACCCCCCTGCCCCCACCCCCTGTGTTTGGGGGTCCCCAAACCCCTCTGCCCCACACCCTGCACCTCTGGGTGTCCCTGCGGCTCCATCCCCCCGACCCTGAGTCCCCACCTGTGCCCCCCACCTGCACCCCCTGCCCCAAATCCCCCAGTCCTGGGGCTCTCCCAGCCCCCCGTCCCTAACCCCCCCGGGCTGGGGGCTCCCCCCCGTGCCTCTGACCCTCCCTGACCTCCCCAGGTTGGGGGCTCCCCCTCCAGCCCCCCACATCCTTGACCCCTCCCGTTCTCCTCCCAGGTTGGGGGCTCCCCCCTATGTCTCCCATGTCTTAACCCCCCCAGATTGGGGGTCCCCCCCCATGTCCCTGCCCTGCCCACGCAGGGGGTTCCCCCCCTGTGCACCCCATGTCCCTGACGCCCCCAACCTGGGGGCTCCCCACTCGTGCCATCCTGACCCCCCTCGTCCCCCAAGCTGGGGGTTCCCCCTCGTCTCCCTGACCCCCCTGACCCCTCTGGTCCCCCCCGTCCCCCCATACGTCTCTGACCCCCCCCCGCCCCCCGTGCCCCCCAGGCTGGGTGCAGGAGGTGCGGGCGCTGCCCCTGGCCCAGGTCCTGCACGGGCTGGGCACGGGGCGGACGCGGGCCGGGGACCCCGTGGACCCCCTCGTGGGCGCCGAGCTGCTGGTGGGAGCGGGGCAGCACCTGCGGGCAGGTAAGGGGGCTGGGGGGGCTCAGGGACCCCCAAACCCCCCGATGACTCCCTGGTGTCCCCCCCAGGCGAGCCGTGGCTGCGGGTGCACCACGAGGGGGTAGGGAGGGTCCGGGGAGGGGGGGACGTGGGGGGGCTCTCTGACCCCCCATAAATCCCCCACGTCCCCCCCCTCCCCAGGCGCCCCGCGGCTGCCAGTGCACCACGATAGTGTGGGTGGGGGTCTATGTGCGGGTCTGTGGGGGGCTCCCAGACCCCCATAACCCCCCATGTCCCCCCCCCGCAGGCGAGCCGTGGCTGCGGGTGCACCACGAGGGGACCCTCGGCGCGGGGGGGCGGCGGGTGCTGCAGGGCGCGCTGTGCCTCGGCCCGGAGCCCCCCCGGGACCCGCCGCCGCTGGTGGCCGAGACCGTCGTGCCCGAGGGGTCCGCCCCGGCCCCCCAATAGGGCCCATTTGGGGGGGGGGGGGGCGGGATTTCCCTTCCCCCCCCCCCGGGGGTCCCGCGCGGGGCGGCGGCGCCACCTGCTGGTGGAGACGAGGACTGCAGGGAGCGAGGCCACGCCCCTTCCTCTTCGGCCACGCCCCCTGCCGCCAAGGCCACGCCTCCCCCCAACAAGCCGCGCCTCTCCCGCTCGAGCCACGCCCCCGCCCGGCTCCTCTCTCCCAGGCCACGCCCCCTTCGGTCCCGATCACGCCTTCTTTCGATCAGGCCACGCCCCTTTCTGTCCAGGCCCCGCCCCCTCCCCGCCCTCCCCGCCGCCAGTTCCGGTTCCGGCGGCGCCGGCGCGGCCGCACCGGGAGGAGAGTCCGGGAACGGGGCGGGGGTCGGAGAGAGAAGGTGAGCGGGGGTGGGGGAGCGGGGCTGAAGGTACCCGGGGTCGGGGGGCAGCGAAAGGGACGGGGCTGAGGGGTCAGAGGGGTCCTGGGGGTCACAGAGAGCAGCGGGAGGAGCGGGATGAGGGGTCACGGGGCATCTGGGGCGCTGGGCTGGGGGTCGGCAGGAGAGGGAGGTGCAGGGTGGGGCAGGAGGAGCAGCAGGACACAGGGCGGGGGTCAGAGGATGGGTGGGGGCTGAGATGGGGGGTCAGGGCAGCAGGAGAGGGTCGAGGGGTATCTGGGGGTCAGGGGGCAGCAGCAGGAGGGAAGGGTCAAGGGGGTCCTGGGGGTCTGGGCTGGGGGGAGGAGCGGGATGAGGGGTCAGGGGGTGTTTGGGGGTCAGGGCTGGGCGGTCAGAGGGTCCCTGGAGGTCAAAGTTGGGAGGTCAAAGGGGCAGGAGGAGGAGTGGGCTGAGGAACCAGGGAGGGGCGGGACGGGGGTCCAAGAGCAGCAGCAAACAGGGTTGGGGGCTGAGGGTGGGTGTGGCAGTGCTGGGGGCTCCAAGGCCACCTGGGGGCGGGGGCGGCTTTACCTCGCACCCCTCTGACCCTCCCGTGCCCCTCCCCACAGCCCGCACCGCCCCCGCCGCGATGCTGCGAGCCCTGCGCCCCTGCCACCCCCTGTGCCACCCCCTGTGCCACCCCCTGTGCCAGCCCCTGTGCCACCGCACCCAATCGCAGCCCCTGAGCGCCGGCCCCGCTGCCCCGGAGCGCCCCGAGCCCCCGCGGCTGCCGCTGTGGCAGCGTGCGGCGGTGGCGGGGGCGGTGGCGGGGCTGGCGGGGGCGGGCTGGCTGTACCTGCGGCGGGAGAAGGAGCGGCGGCTGCGGCAGCGGCGGCTCCGGGACCTGCGGGCGCTGGCGCTGGGCCAGGGCGACTTCCAGCTGCAGGACACGTCCGGAGCGCCCCGCTCCCGCGCCGACCTGCTGGGCCGCTGGGTGCTGCTGTACTTCGGCTTCACGCACTGCCCGGACGTGTGCCCCGAGGAGCTGGAGAAGCTGTGCCGGGCCGTGGAGCTGCTGGAGGCGGTGCCGGGGCTGCCGCCGGTGCAGCCGCTGTTCATCACGGTGGACCCTGCGCGGGACGACGCGGCGGCGCTGGGGCGGTACCTGCGCGACTTCCACCCGCGCCTGCAGGGCCTCACCGGCACCGAGGAGCAGGTCCGGGCGGCCGCCGGCGCCTTCCGCGTGTACGTGAGCGCCGGGCCCCCCGACCCCGACGGGGACTACGTGGTGGACCACTCGGTGCTCACCTTCCTGCTGGGCCCCGACGGGCTGGTCCGGGACTGCTACGGGCGCTCCCGCACGGCCGAGGAGCTGGCAAAGAGCGTCAGGGGGCACATGGAGAGCTACGAGCCGCTGCCCCCCGGGTGACCGGGAATAAAGGGCGGGGGGAACCCCCGGAATGGGCCTGGTGTGGTTTGAGGGGGGAGAAGGGGGAGAGGGAGGGTGGTGACACCCAGGGGTGTCATGGGGAGGGACCCCCGACAGAGCCCAGTGACCCCCAGGGGTGTCACTTGGGAACCGAGGGACCCCCAGCAGAGCCCAAGTGTGTCCAGTGGGGGTGGGAGGGACCCCCTGACAGAGCCCAGTGACTCCCAGGGGTGTCACAGGGGGAGGGAGGGGCCCCTGTGGCCCCCACCCAGCTGTGTCTGCTGGGGAAAGGGACTCCTGACAGAGCCCAGTGACCCCAAGGGTGTCACCTGGGGAGGGAGGGACCTGTAACAGACCCCACTGTGGCCCCCCAGGTGTGTGTCATGTGGGGACAGAGACTTTAGGTGGGCAGGTGGAGGGACCCCTGACAGATCCCAGTGTGTCCCAGGTGTGTTCTAGGACCAGGAAAGGACCCTTGAGAGACCTTGGTACTCCCCAGGTGTGTCCCAGGGGTAGGGAGGGACCCCCAATAGGCCCCAGTGCCCCCCAGGAGTATCCCAGAGGAAGGGAAGGACTCCTAACAGACCCCACTGTGGCCCCCCAGGAGAGACTGCAGGTAGGTGGGTGGATGGGCCCTCAAAGCCCCTGTTGCCCCCAGGACTGGTTGGGGGGCTCTGTGAAGGTGAGTGATGCCCCCTCCACCCCCTGCAACCCCCCAGGGACCCTCCTAATGAGGAGGGAGAGCAGGAGTAGGTGAGTGAGGTGAGCCCTGTAGCCCCCCTGGACCCTCCCCACGAGGAAGGAGGCCTTGTGTAGGTTTGTGGAGTGACCCCCCCCCACCTGCAGTCCCCCAAGACTGTCCTGTGGGGAGGGAGGACCCCACACCCTGGAGCTGCCAGGACCCTCCCCACAAGGAGGGAGAACAGGGGTAGGTGGGCAGAGGGACCCCAGGCAGTCCCCAGGACTGTCCCCTGGGGTGGCACCCCACAGGCAGGTGAGCGGAGCGACCCCAACAGCCCCCGTACCAGCCCCCGCCGCCCCCCACCAAAGACACCTTTCCCTCACTCTCCACGGCTGCTCCTGCACACGGGGGGTTTATTGGGGGTGGGGGTCCCTGAGGGAGGGGGGCTGGAAGCCCTGGAACCTCTCGTGGGCGGGGCGCAGGGTGAGCAGCCGCAGCCGCGCCGTGTCCAGCGCCGCCTCCAGCCCCTCGTCCTGCTCCAGCTCCACCACCCCGTCGTTGGCCTGGGGAGGGGGGCACGGGGGTGAGCGGGGGTCCCGCACACCCGGGGACCCCCTCGACCCCCCCCCGAGTCCTTACCAGCTGCAGCGAGGCCAGCAGGTACCGGCACACCTCGAAGGGGGGCTGCCCGGCCACCAGGCTGGCGAGGGAGTGCCACCGTCCCAGCCCCCCGCAGCGCCCCGTCAGGGCCAGCCCGTACTCCCGCATGTCGAAGGGCGCCCGGGCCTCCTGCGGGCACGGGGGGCACGTCAGGGTGGGCAGGGACAGGCTGCCAGGGCCCCACTGGGTCACTGCCCACCACAGTCCCTGCCCCCTGTCCCCACTGTCCCACCCACGGAGTCCCTGCCCTCTCTGCCCAACCTCTTCCCTGCCCACTTCAGCCCCCTGTCCCCAGTGTCCTGCCTGGGTGATCCCTGCCCACTCCAGTCCCTGCCCACCCCAGCCCCCTGTGTCCCCCTGCCCTCCCTGGTGGTCCCTGCCCAGCTGGAGGTCTCTGCCCCAGCCCTGGGGGTCTCTGTCCCAGCCCCTGCCCTCCCCAGGGGTCTGTGCCCTCTCAGTGGTTCTTGCCCCAGCCCTGGGGTGTCCCTGCCCTGCCAGGGGTCCCTGTGCCAGCCCTGGGGGTCCCTGCCCTCCCGGGGGTCCCTGCCCTCCCCGGGGTCCGTGCCTGCTCCTGCAGCAGTGGCTCTATCTGCTCCTCCCAGCGCCGGATGTGCTGGGACAGCTCCGTCTCCTGCGCGAACTTCTGGGAGCTGGCCATGAACAGCTCCTGTGGGGACAGGGCAGTGCAGGGGGGCACCCCCAAACCTCAGGGGACACCCCAACTCTCCTGGGGGCACCCCCAAACCTCAGGGGACACCCCAACACTCTGGGGGTCACCCCACCCTCCTGGTGGCACCTTGACCCTCAGGGGACACCCCAATGCTTTGGGGGCACTCCGACCCTCCTCAGGGCATCCCCAACCCTTTGGGGGGTACCCCAACCCTCTGGGAGCACCCCCCATCCCCACACTGGCACCTACCACGTTCCTGCGCACCAGCTCTTCATATCCCAGCTCCGGGGAGTCTGTGGGAAAAGGGGGTCACGGTGGGGGCAGGGGGCACAGCACACAACTACACCCCCACACCTTTGGGGGGCACAGGGGACCCGCCAGGGACAGGTGGGGTGGGGAATCTGGGGGAGGATCAGCAGCTCACCCAGGGATCCTTCTCCCAACTCCTCTGGCACCTCGGGCTCCACATCCTCCTCCACATCCTCATGCTCCACAAAATCATCATCTGCTGGGATGGGGAGACCCCTCAGTGCTCCCTGGGCCCCCCCCCAGCCCCCGGAGGGGGGAATTTGGGGTGCCAGTACCTGCCCCTTGGTCGCAGTCAGCCCCACGCTCCTGCTCCAGCTCCGGCTCCCACAGCGGCTCCTGGGGGAAGGGGAACAGCCCTGAGTACACCCTGAAGACCCCCAGAGCCCCGGGGGGGGGCTGGTGTCCCTCTGCCCCCCAATTTACCCCCCACCCCACTCACCCCCTGGCTCTTGAGCTTCCTCTGTGCCGCCAGCCGCTCCTTCAGCTGCCGCCAGTACAGCACTTCCAGGTCTGCCGGGACACAGGGGTGGGGAACACGGATTTGGGGAGCACCCGCACCCAGCAGAGCCCCCCCCAGCACACCATGGTCTGGGGGGGCCTTCCCAGGCTCCCCTTGCACGGTTTTGGGGTGCCCTTCCCCTCCATCCTCCCCCCAGTGCAGAATCCAGTCCCTGGTCTCCCCTGGGACTGGGAACTGTGGGAGATTCCACCCTGAGGGCCCTCCCGGTGCCACCTGGGCCGTGTCCCCCCCTCACCTGCGAAGGTGGGGCCTTTCCTCCTGGTTTTCCGGCTGTCTGTGACATTGTTGTCTGGGGGGAAGAGATTGGGAATGGGGGGAAGAGATGGCAAATCCATGGAATCGTTGAGGTTGGAAAAGCCTTCTGAGCCCGTGGAGTCCCCCCAGCACTGCCACGGCCACCCCTGCCCACGTCCCCACGTGCCACATCCACAGGGTTGTTCAATCCCTCTGGGTTTTTAAATCCTTCTGAATTCCGATCCCGGCAGGATCCCGCGGGAATCACTCACAGGCTGCAGAGAACCACCTCATGAAGTCCTGGAGCTTCCTGGGGCCCCTCCTCTTCCTCTTGCCTCCCACCACGTCGTCCAGGCTGCGGGACATCAGGAAGGGCCTCCCTGCAGGTGACACAGGTGACACAGTGGCACTGGGGGCACGGCCACCCCGAGGGGCCGGGAGGGGGCCCCTTTCCCACATCCCTCTGGATGTCATGGGGCTGGGAATGACCTATCATGGGAAGGGGACACTGAGGGACACGTGGCTGAGAATGACCCGCTGTGGGACTGGGAATGACCCGCTGTGGGACTGGGAATGACCCGCTGTGGGGCTGGGAATGACCCGCTGTGGGACTGGGAATGACCCTTCGTGGGACTGGGAATGACCCTTCGTGGGACTGGGAATGACCCGCTGTGGGACTGGGAATGACTCACTCTGGGACTGGGAATGACCTGCTGTGGGGCTGGGAATGACCCGCTGTGGGACTGGGAATGACCCGCTGTGGGGCTGGGAATGACTCACTGTGGGACTGGGAATGACCTGCTGTGGGACTGGGAATGAGCTGCTGTGGGACTGGGAATGACCCGCTGTGGGACTGGGAATGACCCGCTGTGGGACTGGGAATGACCCGCTGTGGGACTGGGAATGACCTGCTGTGGGACTGGGAATGACCCGCTGTGGGACTGGGAATGACCTGCTGTGGGACTGGGAATGACCCGCTGTGGGACTGGCGACGCTGAGGGACGTGTGGCTGGGAATAACCATCTGTGGGCCAGGAAGTCCCCTCCACGGGGCTGGGAATGAGCTGCTGTGGGCCAGGAAGCCGAGCTGTGCTGTCCCTGCACCCCAACCCCCCTGGAGCACCCCCTCCTTCCCCAGCACCCCTCCCCAAAAATTACCTTTCCTAAACGGCTTCTCCTCGGAGTCTCCGAAGGGGTCGAGGCTCTGCCATGGATCTGGCACCTCCTGGCACAGGGGTGAGGATGGAGCACAGCTCCCCATGGCACCCTGGGATCCCCCCAGTGTCCTGGGGGGTCACATCCCACCTGGACTCCAGAGCCCCCCGCTCCAGGCCCCCCTTACCTTGCTGTGGGCTCTGGGGTCCTGGCTGGGGGGTTTCTCCCGCAGGACGTATCCCCGTGTCCGGGGTGAACTCTGGGACACAGAGAGGGACAGTGAGGGCTGGTACCTGCAGGGCTGGGGGGTCTGGGGGTCCAGAGGTTGCAGAAGGACTGGGGGGCTCTGGGAAAGGAGTGAGGAGTGGCGGGGAAGGAGCGAAGGGATCTGGGGAAGGAGCGAGGGGATTCCAGGGCCCAGGGATCCAGGGAAGGAGTGAGGGGCTCCAGGGCAGGAGCAGGGGCAGCCCCCCAAGCCCTGCCCACACGGACCCTCTGTGCCTCAATGTGTTCATTCGGGGCCAGAGTCATTTCCACGTCGTCCCCCAGGGCCCCGGGAATGTCGTTGTCATCATCTGGTCCTGCAGCACCTGGGGGGAGAACGGGCAGAGCCTGGAGAGGCTTCTGGAGGCTTCCAGCCTGGCTACCAAAGAATTCCCCTGGGTGCTTCTCCTGCCAGGGCCAAGGGGCACCAGAGGGCAGGAGCAGGGAATCATGGAGTTGGCTGGGTTGGAAAGTCCCTCTGAGCCCACGGAGTCCAACCAAGGCACTGCCAAGGCCACCACTGACCCACGTCCCCAGTGCCACATCCACAGGGCTTTGAAATCCCTCCAGGGATGGGGACTCCACCCCTGCCCTGGGCAGCTGTGCCAGGGCTGGACAGCCCTTTCCATGAGGAAATTCCTCCTGGTGTCCAACCTGACCCTCCCCTGGCCCAGCCTGAGGCCGTTTCCCCTTGGCCTGGCCCTTGTTCCCTGGCAGCAGAGCCCGACCCCCCCGGCTCCCCCCTCCTGGCAGGGAGCTGCAGAAGGATGAAGTCTCTCCTCACCCTCCTCCTCTCCAGCATTCCCAGACAGACACATGGACACAAGGACAACCACCTGGATCCCCCTCAGCCAGGTGACAGCACTCACCTGCCTCCTCAGAGAAGCTCAGTGCCCGGATTGGAGCCACGCTGGCACTCGGATGCTCCACACCAGGACCAGATCCCGGAGCTCCTGCCAGGGCACAGCGGCGGGTGACAGTGAGAGGTGAGTGGCCCCCCACAGACACCCCCCCGGAGCCCCCCAGGTACCTGTGGCTCTCCTGGGGCTCCGCAGGCGCTGCTCCTGCAGGTGTGTGGGGGAGAGCCCGGCCAGCTCCAGCAGGAACGCTCCCGTGGCGTGGGGGGTGCAGGTGTTCATCCGGAAATCCTTCCGGCTCGCCAGGACCTCCCCTTTCCGGCTGCGGGAACATCCTGTCAGGGACCCCCCTCACCAGGCTGGGGGGTCCCTAAAGCCCCCCTGCTCCAGCCTGGGGTCACCCCAGCCCTTTCACCGGCACGGTCCTGTCTGGATTTCCCTGCACATCCCTGGGACCCTCCTGCCTCCCACCAGAGGCAGATCCCAACAGGAATTGTGCAGCCATGGGGCATATCCTGAGGGACTGAGGGATCCCAAATAGAGCAGGGGAGGGGGACGTTGGGTGCTCCCACCCAAGGGTCCCGACTGGAGCAGGAGAGGGAGACACAGGACACTCTTAACCCAGGGATCCCAGCTGGAGCAGAGGAGGGGGAACCCCCCAGCAATGGGGGGGGACAGTCCCCCCAATCAGAGGTGGCCTGGGGGGTGGTGGCACCTCAACAGGGGGTTTTCCTTCTTCTCCATCTCCTCCGGGGGGACCAGAGACATCGGGGTCAAGGGAACGACGTTCACAGCCTGGCAGGGTAAGGGAATATGGGAAGGAGCCTGGGAAAGGTCCTGGCACAGGTGTCACTGTCCCCAAGGCCACCACTCCTGCTGGAATGGCCCTGGGATTCACCCAGGAAAACCCTTCCATGGGGAGGGACAAAAGGAGACGGGTCCCTCTTACACTGGGCTGCTGATTGCTGCTCATGTCCACGCTGGCCTGGCTGGTGTCCTTGATGTCATCCAGGGACAGGAACTGCTGGGAGAGCCACGGGAGTGTCACCCCTGGCACACCGAGGGGTCCCACAGGAGCAGGGCAGGGGGACACGGGACATTCCCACCGAGGGATCCCACAGGAGCAGGGCAGGGGGACACAGGACACTCCCACTGAGGGATCCCACAGGAGCAGGGCAGGGGGACACAGGACACTCCCACTGAGGGATCCCACAGGAGCAGGGCAGGGGGACACGGGCCACAGGACCCCCCTCACCTGCTCCTGCACGTCTGTGAAGGTGGCATCGTCATCCCGGCCGTCGGGTCTCAGGGAGGTGGGCAGCTTCTCCCTCCTGAGGGAAAAACGTGGTCAGGATCCACGGGATGGGTGGGAGAGGGGGCTGAAGGGGTGGGGAGAAGCAGGAGGTCACACCCCGAATCCCGGGGGCAGTTCTGGGCCCTCAGACAGGAGAGACCTGGAGGGGCTGGAGCGTGTGCAGGGAAGGGAAGGGAGCTGGGAAGGGTCTGGAGCAGCAGGAGGGGCTGAGGGAGCTGGGGGGGCTCATCCTGGAGCAAAGGAGGCTCAGGGGGGACCTTCTGGCTCTGCAAGTCCCTGCCAGGAGGGGGGAGCCGGGGGGGGTCGGGCTCTGCTGCCAGGGAACAAGGGCCAGGCCAAGGGGAAACGGCCTCAGGCTGGGCCAGGGGAGGGTCAGGTTGGACACCAGGAGGAATTTCCTCATGGAAAGGGCTGTCCAGCCCTGGCACAGCTGCCCAGGGCAGGGGTGGAGTCCCCATCCCTGGAGGGATTTCAAAGCCCTGTGGATGTGGCACTTGGGGACATGGTCAGGGGTGGCCTTGGCAGTGCCTTGGTTGGACTCGATGGGCCCAGAGGGATTTTCCAACCTCCAGGGTTCTGTAATCCCATTATTTTTGCAGATCCACACTGTGGGACACAAGGCAGAGCTGCTGGAGACAAACTGCACGTGGCAGGTAAAAATAAACAACTAAAAATGACCAATCCATGCAGGAGCCACCAGATCTCATTGGGAATGGGAATGGGAATGGCCAGTGATGATGGGAGCACCGAGGCAAAGACCCACAGCAGTGTTTCCACGGGGCAGCAGCCCCAGCAAAACTCCCTCTGGGAAGGGAAATTCCCACTTACTTTTTATTGGAGATGCAGTCAAGTGCCTGGCAGACAAGCATGTACAGGTACTCCACCTGGAAAACAGCACCTGGAGCTGGGAAAGGTTGGGAGCAGCTTCCAGGAAAGCTACTACACCCGATGAACCACCCTCCCCCCCACCTCCCATTATCTCAGGACAGCTGGAGTTCAATTCCACGAATTCTTGTTGTTCTTTTCCCTGTTTCAGCCATCCTGAGGCCAGATTTGGGGGAATCCCTGGAATTTTCCAAAGCTAGTTTGAAAGGTCTAGTGGAAGGTGTTCCTGCCCACGGCAGAGGAGTGGTACTGGATAGGCTTTAATGTTCTTCCAACCCAAACCATCCCGTGATTTTACGAGGAAATAAAATTTTATATCCCACCCTCTGCAGAAAAACGGGAGAACAGCAAAATCCCTGCCCTTTCCCGGGCTGCCAACACCTACAAAGGAATTAAACTTAGGAACGGTAAATCCTTTTGTTCCCATTAATCATTTAACTCAGGTCTCTCAAAGCCAAGGGGGGATTCCAGGGTGACCCCACGGAGCTCAGGGCTCGTGGAATGGGCCTGGGATGCAGCAGGGGTGCTCACCTTCCTGCTGTAGATGCAGGCAGAGCCCTGGATCAGCAGCGCCGCCTCCGTGAAATTCATGGTGGTTCTCCCGTTGTCGAAGGAGATGCAGATCTGATCCAGCTGGGAAGGGCAGGGACGGGACAGGCTGAGTCCCGGGGGGACGTGGGGGTGGCACGGGGAGGGGGACGGGGCAGGAGCCCCCCGTTACCTCCTCCAGGTACTCCCCGAGCTGGGCGGCCACGTCCACCTCCCAGTTCTTGGTGAGGTCCCGGATGGGCTGGAGCAGGTGCAGGAATCGCGACTCCACCTCCTCCATGGCGGGATCCCGGCCGAGACACCCGGGGGGGCCCAGACCACGCGGCTCCGGACAGGGGATGGGGGCAGGTCAGTGGGATCCCGGGAGAGCTGGGGCAGGAATCCCAGATCAGCTGGAAAGGCAGCAATTCAGGTAACGTGGGATCGTTGAGGCTGGAAAATCCTGACCCTGATCCTGATCCCAATCCCGATCCCAGCCCCAATCCTCACTCTGATACAATCCCAACCCCATCCAGACCCCAATCCCAACCATGGATCACAACCCCAGTTCTGCTCCTGACCCTGATCCAGACCCTGGCACCAACCCCAATCCTGATTTTGACCCAGTCCTGATGCCAATCCCAATCCCAACCCGGGGTCACAACCCCGACCCTGACCCTGATCCCGACCCCAGTCCCAATCCTGACTCCCATCCTGACTCAAACCCAAATCACGACCCTGACTCCAACCTTGACCCCAATCCAATCCCGACCCCAATCCCAACTCCACTCCCCAGACCGATCTCAACCGCAGATCCCAACCTCAATCCCGACCCCGACCCAATCCCAGTCCCGACCGCATTCCCAACCCTGATTCTGACCCTGACCATGATCCTGCCCCTGATGCTGATCCCAATCCCGACCCCATCCCAGTCCCAATCTCGACCGCGGATTACAACTCTAGTCCCGATCCCAACCCTGATCCCGATTCTGATCCAGATCCAGTTCCGGTCCCGACGCCACTCCCAACTCCGATCCCAATCCCGATCCCTATCCCCAACCAGATCCCATCCCCAATCCCGACCCCGATCCCTATCCCGAACCAGATCCCATCCCCAATCCCGACCCCAATCCCGATCCCGAATCACAACCCCAGTTCCCGTTCTCCCTCACTCCCCTCTCTCTCCCATCCCCTCTCTTCCCCTCTCCCCGCTCCCCTCCCCTCTCTCTCCCTTCCCCTCTCTCCCCTCTCCTCTCTCTCCATCCCCTCTCTCTCCATCCCCTCTCTCCCCCTCACCGCTCGCTCCCCGCCGCCATGTTCGCCTTTCCCGCGCGCGCCGCGCTGTGACGTCATCGGTGCGCGCCGCGGGGGCCTGAGGGGGGGCCGCCATGGCGGAGGCGGTGCGGCCGCGGGCGCTGTTCCTGGCCGGGCTGGCCGCCGTCTATGTGGCCGCTTTCGGCTCCCTCTACGTGCAGATCCCCGGTACCGCGGGGGCAGGGACAGCCGGGGGCCGCGGGGGAGGGCCGGGCAGCGCCGGGATGGGGCTGGGGCGGTCGGGACGGGGTCGGGATGGGGCCGGGGACGTGGCCGGTGGAGCCGGGATGGGGACGGGAGAGTCGGGACAGAGCCAGGACGGAGCTGGGACGGGTCCGGTAGAACCGGGATGGAGCCGGGGCAGAACTGGGAGGAGTCCAATAGAACGGGGATAGAGCTGGAAGGGGTCCAGTAGAACCGGGATGGAGCCGGGACGGCTCCGGTAGAACCGGGATAGAAGCAGGGATGGGGCCGGTGGAGCCGGAATGGAGCCGGTACAGAGCCGGGACGGGTCCAGTTGAACCGGGATAGAGCCGGGGATGGGGCAGGTAGAACCAGGAGAGAGCCGGGACGGGGCCGGTAGAACCGGGATGGAGCCAGGGATGGGACCGGTACAGAGCTGGGGCGGGTCCGATAGAACAGGGATGGAGCCAGGGATGGGGCAGGTAGAACTGGGATGCAGTCGGGATGGAGCTGGAACGGGGCCAGTAGAACTGGGATAGAGCTGGGAGCGGGAGCAGTAGAGCCGGGACGTGGCCAGTGGAGTCGGGAGTGGGACTGGTGGAGTTGGGATAAAGCTGGAACGGGGCCGATGGAGCCGGGACAGAGCCGGGATGGGGCTGACAGACCCCCCCGGGGCCGCAGGGCCGCCCCTGCCATCCCGTTTCCCTCCCCACAACCTGATCTCTCCCTTACTGGGAAGACCAGGACTACTGGGGAGCAGCTCCTCTGCCCCCTCCACCCTCCTCAGGGGTCCGGGGGGTGCTCGGGCCCCCTCTGAGCCCCCCAGCCCCCTGCCCACGGCAGGCAGCGGCGTCACCTCCGTCCACGTGGCCGGGCTGGCGGTGGCAGCCCCTGGGCTGCACCTGGGCTCTGCCCACTGGCTCCCGGTTCCGACCGGGAAGCTGGGATGGGGACAGCCTGGAGCCCCCCCAGTCAGCACATCGACGAGCCGGGGGTGCCGCAGGGATGAGGCCGAGGTGCTGCCTGGGGGGCTCCCGGCCGCGCCGCCCCAGTTTTCCTGGGAATGCCTGACTGCCGTTCCCGTTGCAGGCCTGTACGGCAGGGAGGGGATCCTGCCGGCCCGCAGGGTGCTGCGGCTCAGCGGGAAGGGGCTGTGGGAGCAGCTCCGGGATTCCCCCACCCTGCTGTGGCTCAGCCCGCGCCTGGGGCTGGACACGGAGCAGGGCATGGAGCTGCTGTGCCTGGTGGGCATCCTGGCGTCCCTCGGAGCCCTGCTGTGCGAGTCCATGCGGGATTGCCTGGTCTTCGCCCTGCTCCGGGTGCTCTACCTGTCCCTCTACCAGGTGAGGGGCTGGGGGGGTCCCTGGAGGGGGGTGGCACCGTCCTGTGAGCTCCTGGTGTGCTCAGATTCCCTCGTGGAGCTGGGGAAGGCGTTGGGAGATACAGTCAGGGAATCAGGGAATGGTTTGGGCAGGAAGGGAATTTTAATCCCATCCCAATCCAGCCCCCAGGGGCAGGGACACTTTCCACTGACTCAAGTTGCTCCAGCCTGGCCTTGGACACTTCCAGGGATCCAGGGGCAGCCACAGATGCTCTGGGAGATTCATTCCAGCCCCTCCCCACCCTCCCAGCCAGGAATTCCTTCCCCATATCCCATCTAGCCCTGCCCTCTGGCACTGGGAAGCCATTCCCTGTGTCCTGTCCCTCCATCCCTTGTCCCAAGTCTCTCTCCAGCTCCAGGCCAGGTTGGACAGGGCTTGGAGCTACCTGGTCCAGTGGAAGGTATCCCTGCCCATGGCAGAGATTTGGAATGGGATGGGATTTAAGGTCTCTTACCACCCAAACCATTCCATGATTCCATGAATCCTCCCTCCTGCCACCCCGGGAGCTCCAGTGAGTCAGAGCCGGCTGCTGTGGGGGGAGGAGGAGGGTTTATCTTCCCTCTGGAATCAGGGAATTACAGAGGGATAAATCACCCGTGTTTGGCCATCCCCCCCTGGGGTAGGGAATCGTCACCTCCCGGGGTGGGGGCTGTCCCCTTGGAATTCTGTATCCCGGTGTGGCTCTGGCTGTTCCCGGCCCATTCCCTCCTCACTCCCTTTTACGGCAATGCTGGAAGCACATCCCTGGAAGCACATCCCTGGAAGCACATCCCTGGAAGCACGTCCCTGGAAGCACGTCCCTGCTCCTCCCCCAGGCCAGGCTGTGGGCAGGGAACACTCCCAGTGTGGAATGGCCCCCCCGGGACACCCCCCCTCCCCCCCAGCATTCCTGGGCTGTGATCCCAGTGCTGCCGTTCCCACGGCTCCTTGGGATTGGCCTGGAGCCCCGTGCTGGGAAAGGAGCTGGGGGGGGCCGAGGGGGGGCTGTGCCCGCCACTCTCCATGTGGGGAAGGGTCTGGGGGTCAAACCTGCCCCACTCACCCCCCGCTCCCTCTCCACAGGTGGGACAGGTCTTCCTGTACTTCCAGTGGTGAGTCAAAACCCCCCTCCTTTGGGCCTTCTGGGGGGGCTGTGGGGGGCTTGGAGCTGGGGGAGATGTCCTGCACCCCCTGCAGACCCCAGGGTGGGGGCACAGCAGGATGGGGGCTCTGGGTGCTGGGCAGGGGGCACAAGGGGGTGGGGGACTTTGGGGACCACAGTGGGAGGGCACAGCAGGATGGGGGCTCTGGGGAGCAGGGCAAGGGGCATAGTGGTGTGGGGGGCTCTGGGGACCAGGATGGGGGCTCTGGGGCTCAGGGATGGGGGCTTGGCAGGACAGGGGCTCTGGGGACCAGGATGGGGGCTCTGGGGGTCAGGGATGGGGGCTTGGCAGGACAGGGGCTCTGGGGACCAGGCAGGGGGCACAGGGCACTGGGATGAGGGGCACGGTGAGACAGGGGCTCTTGAGACCAGGGCAGGGGGTGTGGGGGGCTCTTGGGACCAGGGGGGGATATGGGGGGCTCTGGGGGACAAGGCCAGGGGGCACAGTGGGACGGGGGGCACAACGAGCCGGGGTCCTCAGCCCCATGTGTGGGGGGGTCTGTCTCCCCCGAGGGGGGCAGGACAGGCCCTGAGGGGTGCGTGGCACTGGGGGTTCAGCTCTGTACCCCCCCCAGGGACAGCCTGCTGCTGGAGACGGGGTTCCTGGCTGTGCTTGTGGCCCCCCTGCGCCTGCTGAGGGGGGGGTCCCCCTCCTGGAGACCCCACGACCCCGTCACCTTCTGGGGGGTGCGGTGGCTCCTCTTCCGCCTCATGTTCGCCTCGGGGGTCGTGAAGCTGAGCAGCCGCTGCCCCACCTGGTGGGGGCTCACAGGTGAGGGGGTGGGTTTGGGGGGCTCACAGGTGAGGGGGTGGGTTTGGGGGCTCACAGGTGAGGGGGTGGGTTTGGGGGGCTCAGGTGAGGGGGGCTCACAGGTGAGGGGGGGTGCATTTGTGGGGGGCTCACAGGTGAGGGGGTGAGTTTGGGGGGCTCACAGGTGAGGGGCTGCAGGTCTGGGGGGGCACAGCCGTGCCCCCACACTGGAGGGGATGGCAGCCCCTGCCCCAGGCCGTGCCCCCCGGGCAGCCCTGTGCTCTGGGGCGCTGGGCCCTGCTCCATGGGGGCCATCCCCGCCCTGAGCCCCCCGTGCCCCCAGCGCTGACGTACCACTACGAGACGCAGTGCATCCCCACGCCGGGGGCCTGGCTCGCCCACCAGCTGCCCGTGTGGTTCCAGAAGCTCAGCGTGGTGGCCACCTACGTCATCGAGGTGGCCGTGCCCGTGCTCTTCTTCGCGCCCCTGCGCCGCCTGCGCCTCTTCGCCTTCTACTGCCAGGTGGGGAGGGGGCACGGAGGGACCCCCGGGGCTCGGGGTGGGCTCCTGGCTGTGGGGGTGCTGGGAGAGGGGGTGGTTGTGCCACTGATGGTGGGAGGGGGTGCCCAGTGCCCTCTGCTCTGCAGCCCCATGACCCCCTCAGCTCTGTCACCCCTGGGACCCCCTTATGCCACACCTCGTGCTGGGGGGTCCCAGGAGGGCTCCCCAGGGGCTGGGGGTTGGCTCCTCGCTCTGTGGGCACTGGGGCATGGGGTGGCCATGCTGGTGCTGGTGGTGTTGGGGTGCCCAATGTCCTCTGCCCCCCAGCCCTGTGACCCCCTTGAGCCCCCCTCGTGCAGGGGTGTCTCCAGGGGGACTCCCCTCGGGCAGGGGGTTGGCTCCTCTGTGGGCACTGGGATGTGGGGTGGCTGTGCTGCTGCTGGAGGGATGTCCAGTGTCCTCTGCCCTCTGTCTCCATGACCCCCCAGCCCTGTGAGCCCCCCAGGCCCCCTCTCATGCTGGGGGGTGCTCAGGGGGTCTCCCCAGAGGCTGGGGGTCAGCTCCTCGCTCTGCTGTCACTGGGAGATGGGATGGTGGTGCTGGGGGGGTGCCCAGTGTTCTTTGCCCCCCAGCCCCGTGCCCCCCCAGCCCCGTGACCCCCCCACCCCGTCCCTGCTCCCCCCCAGGTCCTGCTGCAGGTGCTCATCATCCTCACGGGTAACTACAACTTCTTCAACGCGCTCACCATCGTCCTGGCCTTCTCCCTGCTGGACGAGGAGCACGTGGGGCGCTGGCTGGGGCGCCCCAAGAAGCGGCAGGGCAGCGGTGAGACCCCCAGGACCCCCGGTTGGGGGGGGGCTGGTCGTTTCTGAGGTGGGGAGGGGACAGGGGACGTTGTGGCTCCACTGTGGGAGCTGCTGCCAGCGCGGCCCCTCCCCACCCCCAGGGTGGGGGGCTGCGGCCATGGGACACCCTGGGAGGGCTCAGGGGAGTTGGGGGGGTTCCCAGCCCAGCTCTGAGCCCCCCAACCCTCCCAGCCTGGCCTCCCAGCCTGGGCTCTGTGCTGGCCACGCTGCTGGAGCTCAACACCTACGGGCTCCTGCTCTACTGGACCGTGCAGTACTTCGGCCTGGAGATCAACTGGGACAAGAAGCTGCTGGACTCCAAAGTGGGTATGTCCAGGGGGGGTGGCTGCTGACCCCTCAGCCCCCACCCTGGGGGGCCGGAGAAGCCCCTCCCTGATGCCACAGCTTTCCCTTGGCTCCAGCCTTCACCTACCACGAGTTCACAACGTGGCTGCGGACGGTGACGCTGCCGCTGGTGGGGGTGGCCTTCCTGTCCCTGTCCTGGGAGATCCTGCTGGCCATGTACCGGTGGGTGTCGGGGGGCACTGGGGACCCCCGGGGTGTGGGAGACCCCTGGGTGCTGGGGGAGCTGGGAGGGGGCTCTGGGAGCTGGGAAGGGGGTGATGCAGCTCCGGGAGTTGGGAGTGTTGGAGCAGTCAAGCACAGCATGGGGGGGCTCTGAACCCCTCAGCTCACAGCTGGAGCCCCCCCAGACTGGGGGGTGGTGCCTCTTTGTCCCCTTAATGCCCCATTCGTGCCCCCCCAGCTGTGCCTGTGTCCGTGGATGCTTCTGGAAGCTCTGGGCCACCCTCCAGTGGGCCATCATGGCCACGGCCACCGTCAGCTTGTTCGCCGTCAGCCTGGTGAGGGGTCGGGGGGGTCGGGGGGCTCTGGGGGACCCCCCGAGCCGCGGTGACAGACCCCTCCTGCCCCCGCCAGGTGCCCTTCACCTACATCGAGCACGAGTCCAACGGGAAGCTGTGGCCTGGCATCCACCGGCTGTTCGGGGCGGTGGAGCGGTTCCAGGTGGTGAATTCCTACGGGCTGTTCCGCAGGATGACGGGGGTCGGGGGGCGGCCCGAGGTGGTGCTGGAGGGCAGCTACGACGGGCACAGCTGGACGGTGAGTGCGGGGCGGGCACGGGGGCGGGATGGGCACGGGGGGTGGGAGCCAAACCGTCCCCCAGCACTGCCAAGGCCACCGCTGAGCCGTGTCCCCAAGTGCCACATCCACAGGGCTTGGAAATCCCTCCAGGAATGGGGACTCCACCCCTGCCCTGGGCAGCCCCTTCCCATGTCTGAGAGTCCCTTCCAGGAATGTTCCCGATATCCAACCTAAACCTCCCCTGGCACAGTTTGAGGCCGTTTCCTCTTGTCCTGTCGCTTGTTCCCTGGTTCTACAGCCACCCCCAGGTCCTTTTCCTGCCAGGCAGTTTTCCTGCCACCCTTTCCCACATTGCCCGTTTCCCCCTGGAACGCTGCCCGGGGCTGTGAGGTGTCCCTGTCACAGAATCCTGGGATGTTTGGGTGGGAGGGGACCTTACAGACCACCCAGTTCCACCCCCGTGCCATGGGCCACCTTCCCCTGGAAGCTTCCCACTGGCTCGTTCCCCTCTGGAGCCCCCGGGGTGGGCACTGGTGACCCTGGGGGTGGGTAGGGGGGCTCCACATCCCGGTGCCAGCCGCTGCCATCCCGCAGGAGATCGAGTTCATGTACAAGCCCGGGAACGTGAGTGCGGCGCCGGCCGTGGTGGCCCCGCACCAGCCCCGCCTGGACTGGCAGCTCTGGTTCGCTGCCCTGGGGCACCACCACGGCAGCCCCTGGTTCAGCGCCCTGGTGCTGCGGCTGCTGCAGGGCCAGCGTGACGGTGAGGGCGAGGGGGGCACGGGGGGCACGGGGCGGGGGGCTCGGGGGGCTCTGGGGACGGATCGGGGCGTCCCCGTGGTGGTCGGGGTGTGCTCACGGTGGGCCTCGGTGTTGTCCCCCTGCAGCACTTTGGGGTGGCTCCCTGCGGTGGTTTGGGGTGTCCCCCCGCAGCAGCAGTTTGGGGTGTCCCTGCAGTTCGTTTTGGGTGTCCCTGCAGTTCGTTTTGGGTGTCCCTGCAGTAGCTTGGGGTGTCCCTGCAGCAGTTTGGGGTGTCCCTGTGGCAGTTTGGAGTGTCCCCACAGTGATTTTATGTGTCCCAGCAGTTTGGAGTGTCCCTGCAGTAGTTTTGGGTGTCCCTGTGGCAGTTGGGTTGTCCCCACAGTGGTTTTCAGTGTCCCAGCAGTTTGGGCTGTCCCCACAGTGGTTTTGGGTGTCCCTGCAGTAGTTTGGGGTGTTGCTGCAGTGGTTTGGGTGTCCCAGCAGTTTGGAGTGGCCCCGTGGCAGTTGGGGTGTCCTGCAGTGTGTTGGGGTGTCCCCCCACAGAATTTCAGGGTGTCCCCGTGGAGGTTCAGGGCTGTCCCTCCTTTGGTTTGGGGTGTCCCTGTGGTGGTTTGGGGTGTCCCCCTGCAGCAGTGTTGGGTGCCACTGTTGTGGTTGTCCCGCAGTGATCCGGCTGGTGCAGGTGGACGAGTCCCGGTACCCGTTCAGCGCCCGCCCGCCCACCTTCCTGCGGGCCCAGCTCTACAAGTACTGGTTCACGGGCCCCTCGGAGGGCAGGTGAGCGGGGACAGGGCCCCCTGCACCCCAAACCCCCAGTGGTTTGGGGGTGGGATGTGGGGGCTCAGCTGAGCTGCCCCTCCCCAGCCCGGGCCCGGCGCCGTGGTGGCGGCGGCAGCACGTCCAGGAGTTCTTCCCCACCGTGTCCCTGGGAGACCCCACGCTGGAGAGCCTGCTCAGCCAGCACGGCCTCAAGGTGGGCTGGGGGGGCCTTGAACCCCCTCCCTGCACCCTGCCCTCCTTCCTTCATGCCCCTGATCCCCCTGCCTTGATCCTGAACCCCCTCCCTGCACCCTGATCCTCCTCCCTGGGCCCTGCCCTCCTTCCTTCCATGCCCCTGATCCCCCTGCCTTGATCCTGAACCCCATTCCTGGGCCCTGAACCCCCTTCCTTCAACACCCCTGATCCCCCTTCCCTGGCCCCTGAGCCCCCTCCCTGGCCCCTGACCCCCTTCCTTCATACCCCCACCTGGCCCCTGACCCCCCTGCTTCACCCCTGACCCCTCTTTCTGGCCCCTGAGCCCCTTTTCCTCACCCCTGATGCCCCTGCCTTGTTCCTGATCTTCTCCATGACCCCTGAGCCCCCTTCCCTCACCTTCCCATGCCCCCAACCTCCCATCCTTCGCCTCTCACTCTCTCCCTGACCCCAACTCCCCTTCCCTTTCCCTTTGCCCTCCCCATCCCTTCCTTTGCCCCTGACACCCCTTGACCTCCTTCCCTCGCCCCCAACACCCTTCCTTAACCTTGATCCCCCTCTGTGGCCCCTGACCCCCCCTTCCCTCACCCCAACCTCCTCCGACCCCCTTCCCTCACCCCCACCCACTCTCCCTCACCCCTGACCCCCCTGCCTCCCTCCCTGCCCCCTTCCCTGCCCCCTTCCCGCATTCCCTGACCCGCTGTCTCCCGGCAGGACAAGCCCCCCGTGCGGCGCCGGTCTGACGCGGCCCTGCCGCGGCTCCTGGGCTGGGTTCGGGGCCTGGCCCGGCCCTTCTCGGGCCCCGCCCTGCTCTGGACCCTCTACCTGGTGGCCGCCACCGTGGGGGGGCTGCGGGCCCTGGGCCCCCGGGCACGGGGGGGGCCGCCCCCCGCCCGCCACAAGGCCCGGGGGGAGCGGGGGGAGCGCAACGGGGTGCGGGGAGAGGGGCGGGGCCGGGCGGGGGGCGAGGGCCACGGGGAGGGGCGGCCCGGCCCCAAGAAGAAGAAGTAGCGCCCGCAGCCCCCCGCCCGTGTGCCAGCCCCGGGGGGGCCCTGGGTGGGGGGTGTCAATTGGGCCCCGCCCCGGGGGGCTCCCGGTGTTCTCCCCCCAGTGCCTTCAGCACAGTGTGGCCATGCGGGGGGGACCCTCCCCACTGCCTTGGGGACCCCTCCCCACTGCCCAGGGACCCCTTGGGGACCCCTCCCTGCAGCCTGGGGACCCCTCCCCGCTGCCCAGGGATCTCTTGGGGACCCCTCCCTGCGACCTGGGGACCGCTGGGGACCCCTCCCCGCTGCCCAGGGATCTCTTGGAGACCCCTCCCCGCTTCTTGGGGAGCACTCCCTGCAGCCCAGGGACTGCCGGGGACCCCTCCCTGCTGCCCAGGAAGCCCTTGGGGACCCCTCCCCACAGCCTGGGGACTACTGGGGACCCCTCCCCACTGCCCGGGGACCGCTCCGGGCCCCACAAGGGCAGGGGGGTTCGATGCGGCTGGGGGTGCTCAGCACAGATGGGGGGCTCCTTGCCAGCAGGATGGAGCAGTTTGGGCAGTGCCAACCCTCCTCCTTACCCTGCCCAGCCCCTCAGGTGCCCCCCGGGCAGTTTGGGGTGGCTGCCCCCGTGTCCCCCACCCCGATGGGCTCTGCCCATCCCACGCTTCCCCCCCCGGCTCAGCCCCAAGCTCAGAGGTCCAGAGGTTTCCTATAATTTTCTAAATAAAGCCTTTGACATTCCAGCCCCCCGGCTCTCCTGGGATTTGGGGGGCTCCTGGCCCTGTCCTGCCCCCCCCGTGCCTGGGGTGAGCCCCTGTGAGGGGGGGGAGGCGACTGGCCCAGGGGGTGCGGCACAAGCAGGTTTATTGTGGAGCCCCCACGGTGGGGTCTGGGGGAGGTGCCGGGTGCTGCTGCGGGTGAGGGGCCCAGTGGGGGTCCCAGCAGGGTGGAGGGTGGTCCTGGCAGGGTTTGGGGGTCACCAGCAGAGCTGCCCCGGGCAGTACTTGTCGATGAGCGACTGGTAGTACCCGCGGAGCTGCTGCACGTCGGGCAGGTCCTCCTGCTTGGTGTACAGGTCGAACTTGCTGGGGGAGCACAAGGGGGGTCAGGCCATGGGTGCACCATCACCCCCCCACACACACAGCCCCGGGGGGCTCAGCTGAGCCCCCAGTGCCCCCCGGGCACGCACTTGAGCTCGCGGACCCAGGGCAGCATCCGCCGGTCCTCCTCGGAGCAGAGGTGCCCATAGTCCCCGTGCGCGTGCCAGGGGTAGAAGGAGTGGAAGCGAATCATGTAGAAGGCCTGGGGGGGGACAGGGACGTGCCAGCCGGGTTTGGGGGGCCCCGCCCCGAACCCCCACGGGGGGTCCTTGTCCCCCCCCGCGCCCCCCGGTCTGAGCTCACCTCCTTGGGCAGGGCGAACTTGTTGAACTTCATCACTTGGTACATGTACTCTGGGGAGGGGGCGGCGTGTGGGGAGGGGCTGGACCCCCACCGGGGGGGCACCCCGAGAGGGGCAGCCCCCCCTGAAAGCCACAGCTCCCCCCCGGGGAGCTGCAGCCCCCACCCCACGCCAAGGGCTCCAACCCCCCGGCAAAGGGGGCAGTGTATGGGGCAGCACGGCCCTCCTGGGGGATCAGTGCCCCGTTTGGGGGTGGGGGCCCCTTCCCCGAGGAGGGGACGCCCCCGGCCCCCCCTGGCTCACCATCGTGGCCCCAGGACATGAGGACGTTCTCCAGGCCACAGCCAGGTTGGTACATCCCACACTCGGTGCTGGGGATGGAGCGGGGTGGGGGGTGAGAGGCTGGACCCCCCCTCTGGACCCCGGCCGGGCCCTGGGGTGCAGCCCCCCACCCCCAGCACCCCCGGGCTCACCTGTAGCGGGGGTCCTTGGTGTCGGGGTTGTCGTGGAAGGTGGAGTCCCCGTAGACCACCGAGCTCTGCACCTTGCAGCCCACCGGGAAGGTGTCCCCCACCACCGCCCACTGCGGGGGGGCACGGGGGTCACAACGGCCCCCGGAGGCTTCCCCCGACACGGGGGGCTCGCCCCCTCCCCACCATCCCACTCACCTGGGGCTCCCCGAAGAGCACCAGCACCTTCCCCAGGTCGTGCAGGAGCCCCACGAGGTGGAACCAGTCTGCAGGTGAGTGAGATTGTCACCCCCCGGGACGGGACCCTGCGGGGCTGGGAGGGGACAGAGGGGGGGTGTGGCCGTGCCTTTGTCGGGGTGTGCCCGGCGGATCCCCTCGGCCGTCTGGAAGGCGTGGAAGGAGTTGGGGAAATCCACGTCGGGGTCCGACTCGTCCACCAGCTGGTCCAGCAGCTCCAGCGCCTCCATCACGCTCATCCTCCGCAGGGAGCACGGCCCGTACTGGGCTCTCTGGGGACACCCGGCTTGGGGGACACCGAGGCACCCCCCGGGGCCCCCCCGGCACCCCCCCGGGGCCCCCCGTGGGGCTGGGGGCGTGGGTGCCCCTCAGTGTCCCCCCGAACGGGCTGGGACGGGGCACCAGGGCTGGATTTGGGGTGCAGGGTGGGAGGGCTGTGACATCCCCTGCTGTGGGGACCCCAGGGGGGACAGGCCGGCCCTGGGGGGACAGGGTGACCCTCGGGGGGACACAGGGTGACCGGGGGGGACACAGGGTGACCGGGGGCTCCCACCTTCCTGCGGACGAAGTCCACGGTCTGGTGTGTGTGCATGAGCAGGTACGTGTGGTACACGCGGTCGATCAGCTTCCCCTCCTGTGGGGCAGTGGGGGGAGAACGGGGGGGTCAGGGGGGTCCAGAGAGCAAGGGGAGCCCCCCAGTGTCCCCCCACCCCAGCCTGGCATGGTAGAGACCCCCAGGGCTCTCCCAGCTGCTCCCAGCCTGGGGTGGGACCCCCAGTGTGGCCACTGGGGACAGACGGGGACACAGGGACTCACTGTGGGACCCCTGGCACCCACGGGACCCCCAGCACTCACCTCACACCATAGGACCCCCAGGACCCTTATGCAGGCCCCCCCTGACACCCCACCCGGTTTTGGGCTCCCCTTGAGCCCCCCTGAGCCCCCCTCCCCACGTGGGATCCCCTGGGACCCCCCAAACTCACCGTGTAGTTCCTGAACTCGGACTTGTCCTTGCCGGGTTTGGGCTCCTCAGAGGGGTCGGGGCCCTGAGGGGTGACAGGGGGGGCTCAGGGGTCCTGTCCTGTGCCCCAGCCAGGGACAGGGGCAGGGGACAGGGACAGGGACAGGCAGAAGGGGCTCGGGGGTCCCATCCTGCCCTCCACCCTCAGCACCGTGGGACAGGACAAGGGGTCAGGGACCGGCGGTCAGGGACAAGGGGACAGCGGCACCGAGGGAAGACCTGGACACACGGGGTCACCTGGTGCTGCGTGGGGTCACAGGGTCACACGGTGTCACACAGTGTCACAGACCATCAGTCACAGTGTCCCACAAAATCACACATTGTCACACACTGTCACACACATTGTCACACATTGTCTCACACTATCACACACTCACATTGTCACCCATTGTCACCCATTGTCACCCATTGTCACCCACTCACATTGTCACTCACACACTGTCACATTGTCCCACACTCTCACACACTGTTCCCCCAAGGCACAGAGGGGACCCAGGGGTGCTGCCCCTGGTCCCGAGGTGAGTTCCAGCCCAGGGTGCCACTGGGTGGGGGCAGCAGCTCTGGACCCTGTGGGGGTCCCTGCACGGCCCCAGGGGTGCTGTAGGACCCCCCCAGACCCTGCAGCCCCCCAGGGCTGGCACTGACCCCCCACCATTGCCTGGGGGGGAGAGAGCAGCTCCCCATGGTTGCGGGACCCCCCTCCCGCTTGGGGGGTAACCATTGGGCTGGGACCCCCTTGGGGTAGAGTCCCCTGGGAGTGGTCCCCCATGGCACTGGGACCCCCTCGGGGTGGTGTCCCCATGGGGCAGGTCCCTCATGGGTTGACACTGCCACTGCAGGGAGGATGTCGCCGAGGGGTCTCCTCTGCCCCCCAGATTTGGGGTGACACAGGTAGGTCTGTCCTCCCCCAGATGTGGGGTGACACACTGTGTCTGCCCCCCAGGTTTGGGGTGACACAGGTAGGTCTGTCCTCCCCCAGATGTGGGGTGACACAGCTGTGTCTGCCCCCCAGGTTTGGGGTGACACAGGTAGGTCTGTCCTCCCCCAAATGTGGGGTGACACAGCTGTGTCTGCCCCCAGGTTTGGGGTGCTGGGGCTGACCCCAAATGTGGGGTGTGTCTGCCCCCCAGGTAAGCGGCCCCGGCCCCCCCTGCCCGCACTCACCTCCTGGAGGCTCCTCATGGTGGCTCCGGGGGGCTCCCAAGCTGCTGGGAGGCTGCGGGACCCCCGGTTTTGTGCTGGGGGGCGGCGCGGGGGGGCCCCGCCCGGCCCGGCGGGGACAATCGGTGACCAGTTAACCCGCCCCGGTTAATGTTTGACCCCGCGCCCGGCCGGGGGGCTGCGGCTCCCGGGGGGGGGCTGGAGGACCCCCAGCCCGGCCCCGAGCTGGGGACACCCTCCCCGACATGGGGACCCCCGGGTTGGGCCCCCCCGGCCCCGCTGCCCGCGGTGACCCCTCGGTGGGGGCACAGAGTGACCTCCGGGGACACGGGGAGCGGGACCGGCCCCGCGGCCCCGGGGCCAAGGGGCACTTGGGGGGGGCTGGGGGGCACAGCGGGGGGGCAGCGGCCCGATGTGGCACCCACCACGTGGCCACGGGGACCCCGAGTGCCCGAGGGGGCATCGCGGGGGGCGGGCACGGGCGTGACAGGGCACGGACACGGCCGGGCACGGGAGTGTCCCCTCCGGGGCCCGCACGTGTGCGCGGGGGTGACACGCACACGTGTGCGGGAGGTGTTGCTGTTCCCGCTGTCCCCACGCCTGTCCCCGCGGGGGTGACACGCACACGTGTGCGGGAGGTGTTGCTGTTCCCGCTGTCCCCACGCCTGTCCCCGCACCCCTGCGGGTGCCGTCACCCTCGCCCATCACCTCCTGCCCCCGGGACCCACCCCTGGCCACGGCAGCCCCTCGCCCCCCGCCCGCCCCCCGTGCCCGATCCCGCCGGGAACACCGCGCTCCATCCCAGGCTCCTCCTCACTCGCTTTATTCCACACAGACCAGAATTCCCGGCGGGAAGCAGCGACGCTCCGAGATGCGCGACACGATCGGGTCAGGCACCCGCCGGGGCACCCGGGGGAGGGGGCGAGGGGGTGACGGTCCCCACGCGCCCCTCGGGTCCCCCCCTGCCCCTTCGCTGGAGCCTCCTGGGACACCCGTGGGAACGACTTGGCTCCGGGTGGCACCCGTGGGATCCTGTCCTGGGGGCCTCCCGTGACACCGAGGGGATCCCGACCCAGCGACCTCCTGTGACACCCATGGAAGGGGCGCGGCTCCAGGTGACCCCCCCGTCCCAAGAAACTCGTGAGACACCCTGTTCCAGACCCCCCCGTGGCACCCTTGTCCCAGGAACATCCTGGGAAGCCCATGGGACCCCCCATCCCGCCCCGGGAAGGAGGAGAGGGGGACCCAGGGCAGCCCCCAGGACTGCTGAGGGCTGGGGGCTCCGGGGAATAGGGGTGCTCTGGGGGATTGGGATGCTCCTGGGGGATTGGGATGTTCCTGAGGGATTGGGATGTTCCTGAGGGATTAGGGGTGCTTGGGGGGGACTGGGGTGCTCCTGGGGATTGGGTTGCTCTGAGGGGCTGAGTGTGCTCTGTGGTGGGGCTGGGGGTGCTCCTTGGGGTCTGGGGGTGCTCCTGGGGGGCTGGCCAAGTTGCTCCCAGGATGGGACTTTGGGAGGGTGACCTGGGGTCACACATCCCTGTCCCACCAGGCCACAGGGTGCCACTGGGGTGACACCAGCACTTCGGGGTGACAGAGATAACCAGGGTTCCCTCATGTCCGTGGGCCTCCCCCCCGTGCCAGCACCCACTGAGCCCGTGGGGACACAGTGTGGGTGTCCCCGAGGGTGAGCCAGGGGACGGGGGGGGGACAGGGTAGGGACAGAAGCAGCCGTCTCACCCTGGGCAGGCCCGGGGATCCCGGGGGAGGACAAGAGGTGCTGGGGGTGCCCTGGGGGTGTCACGGGAGTGCTCTGGGGGTGTCACGGGGGTGTGTCCGTGCGTGCCGTGGCAGGCACTGGATTGCTGAGTCAGCGGGACCGCGGCCGGGGGCAGCGTGGCCGGGGGGTCTTGCACAAGGCGCCGGCGCTGCTGCGCTCAGCGGGATCCCCGGTGGCCCTTGGACCCGCCCCGGACGGACCGGCCACTGCCAGACAGCGCGGGTCACCACGGGCCACCACCAGGGGCCACCCTGAGCCACCAAGAGTCACTACGGGCCACCACCAGTCACTATGGGCCGCTGCCGGTCACTGTGGGCCACGGCTGGCCACCACGGGTGACCTCGGACACCACGGGCCACCATCACTCAGCGATGGGCCACCTCGGGCCACCGCCAGCTCCTGCGGGGCATCACAGCCCACCATGGACCACCGCTGGCCACCATCTCCCAGCCCCGGGTCCTCTCTGCTCCCTGGGGTCCGGCTCAGGAGGTTCTCACGGCAGGAGCCCCCCGGGGACCCCCCCAGCCCCCGGCGTGGCCTCAGACGGCCGGTGCGGAGGAGCCCAGCCGCGTGTGCCCGTGGAAGCGCTTTAGTGGGTCCCGCGGGGCAGGGCGGGGGGCGCGGGGCCCCCTCCCCGCTCAGCCGTAGCTGTGGGGGCTGTTGGGGTTCATGGGGGACGAGTCCCGGCGCCCCGACTGGCCCCGCAGCTGCCACAGGCGGTGGCTCAGGTTCTGCACCTGGCACGTGCCCAGCACGCAGCCCACCCGCACCGGGTGCCCCCCGGTGTGCCGCCGGTGCCGGGGGTCCCGCCGGGGGTCCCGCCGCAGGTCGTGCCGCAGGAGGAGGCGCTGGACGCGCCACGGGGGCCGCCGGCGGGCGAGCAGTCTGTGCCGGGGGGCCGGGCGGGCACCGCGCCGGGGGGCGACCCACGGGCCGTGCCGGTGGGCCGGGGGTCGGTGCCGGGGGTCCGGGGGTCGGTGCCGGGGGGTCCTGGCGGGCGGCGGCAGCAGCGCGGGGGGCTCGGGGCCAGGGGGGTCCCCGAGAAGAGAAGGGATCAGCTCCGGGGGTCTCCGGGCCGGCGAGTCCCTGCAAGAGAGAAGGGGCAGCGTCGTGGCGGGGGGCAGCGCTGTGGCACCCGGGGAGGGGAGGGTGGCACCGGGACAGCGGGAGAACGGCGGGGACGTGGGGGCACCGCGAGTGCCCGGGGCTGCCAGAGGAGGAGGAGGCAGAAAGGGGGAGGAGGACGAGGAGGAGGAGAAGGAGGAGGAGGAGGCAGCAGCCAGGGCAGGGGAGCCGATACCTGCAGCCACACACGTACTGCCAGCGCGGGCACACGCGTGTGCCAACACATGCACTCTGTAACCACACACACGCACATACGTGTCCCAGCACACACACACTGTGTAACCCCACAAACACACACACACACACATATCCCACACTCACACACTCTATAACCTCACACACCCTCCTGCCCCCCCTCATTTTGCCGCCCACCCCGTTCCCACGGCCTCTGCCCCAGCGCCCACGTGCCCCGACTGTGGCACCCACGCCTGTGCTCCGGGCACCCAGGCGGGGGTCGGGCCTCAGGGCACCCCCACGGTGGCTCAGAGCTCCCCTCGCCCCTGCAGTACCCCCTGTGCCTGAGTTCCCCTCCTTGCTGGCACCCTCTTGCTCCCACGCCTCAGTGCCCCCCTCCTAAGGTCCCCTGTGCCTCAGGGGAGCCCATCCCTCTGGGCCCACCATCCTGGGGACCCCCGAGCCTCAGGGGACCCCATCCAGGGGACCCCATCCTGGGAACCCCAGGGCCTCAGTGCCCCCCATTCTGGCACCCTCCTGCCTCAGTGCCCCCTGCCCTGGAGAACCCCGTGCCTCAGTGCCCCCTCCTGAGGACCCCCTTGCCTCAGTGCCCTGCTCCTGAGGGGAGCCTCAGGGGACCCCATCCCCACCCCACACCACCCCACAGCCCTTGTGGGGGTCGGGGTCCCCTGGTCCCACCTCATCCATTGCCCTGGCAGGGCCCCCCCTCCAGCCCTCCCAGGAACTGGCAGATCCCTCGGGAGCAGCCGGGGATCCCCAGGGCACCGGGATCGGCCCAGACCCGCCCCTGGAGCAGCGGCAGGAACACACATGTACAGCATGTACACACAGATGTACAGCGTGCACACACACACAGAGTGCAGACACATGTACAGAGTGCACACACACACACACAGAGTGCAGACACATGTACAGCGTGCACACACACACACACACAGAGTGCAGACACATGTACAGCGTGCACACACACACACACACAGAGTGCAGACACACATGTACAGCGTGCACACACACACAGAGTGCAGACACACATGTACAGAGTGCACACACACACACACACAGTGTGCACACGCATGTACAGAGTGCACACACACACACACACAGTGTGCACACGCATGTACAGAGTGCACACGCACACACACACAGAGTGCAGACACATGTACAGAGTGCACACACACACACACACAGAGTGCAGACACATATACAGAGTGCACACACACACACACACAGAGTGCAGACACATATACAGAGTGCACACGCACACACAGAGTGCAGACACATGTACAGCGTGCACACACACACACACACAGAGTGCAGACACACATGTACAGAGTGCACACACACACACACACAGAGTGCAGACACACATGTACAGCGTGTACACACACACAGAGTGCAGACACATGTACAGAGTGCACACACACACACACAGAGTGCAGACACATGTACAGAGTGCACACACACACACACACAGAGTGCAGACACATGTACAGAGTGCACACACACACACACACAGAGTGCAGACACACATGTACAGCGTGTACACACACACAGAGTGCAGACACACATGTACAGAGTGCACACACACACACACACAGAGTGCAGACACATGTACAGAGTGCACACACACACACACACAGAGTGCAGACACACATGTACAGAGTGCACACGCACACACACATGTGTACAGTGTGCACACACATGTACAGAGTGTGCACACACACACATGCACACACATGAGGGGGTTCTGTCCCGACCCGAGGTGCCCCTTCAGCCGGGGGTCCCATCACCCCATAACCCCCTCCCCGGGCACCCCCAGACTGGCACAGGCAGCCCTCGAGCTCTGCCCCGATCTCCATCTCCGTCCCAAGTCTCAGTCACCCCTCGCACCCCTCCCACCCTCCCCCCCAGATGTCCCGCGGCCCCGGTGCCCCCCAGCCCGCAGCCCCCATCGCGGGGCTCCAGGACCCTGCAGCCCCCCCCGCCCCCATGTCCCTCGGGTCCCCGCGGGCAGGGCTGGGGGCCCGGCAGGAGACGGTGCCCGGGGGACCCCCAGACTCCCCCCCGGGCAGCAGCGGGGGCGGGGGCAGACGGGGAGGCTGCGGGGCCGGCTCCGGGGCAGGGGCTGCGGGGCCGACCCGGGCAGGGGTGCGGGAGGCGGGTGCGGGTGCAGGGAGGGTGCGGGAAAGGGAAAGGGGGGGCAGCCGCCCCGCGCAGGGTGCGGGCAGGGGGGGCCGGACGGGGGGGGTCGCCCCGGGCAGGGGACACGGACCCATTCCGGGCAGGGGGTGCGGGCAGGGTGCTGGCAAGGATGCGGGCAGGTGTCCGGGCAGGGGGTTCGAGCACGGGGTGCGAACAACAGGCAGGAGTTCGGGCAGGGGATGCAGGTGGGCAGGAGTCCGGGCAGGGGTCCGGGCAGGGGGTCCGGGCAGGAGGTGAGGGCGAGTAAGAGTTCGGTCAGGGGTCCGGGCAGAGGTGCGGGCAGGGGATGCGGGTGGGCAGGGGGTCGAGCGGGGGGCGCGGGCAAGGGTTTCAAGCAGGGGTCCGCGGAGGGGATGTGGGCGGGCAGGGGGTTCGATCAGAGGATCGGGCAGGGGACCGAGCAAGGGGTTCGGGCAGGGGGTCGGGCAGGGTCCCTCACCTGCGGGGCGGCAGGGCCCGGCCGCGGGGCAGCTCCAGCAGACACAGCGCGAAGCTGACGCAACCCAGCGCCAGCGGGGCCGGGGCTCGCATGGCCCGACGGGCCGCGACGGGGCGGCGGCGGCTGCGGGAGAGACGGGGCGGGGGGCTCGGGGGGGCTCGGCGCGGGGTTCGCGCTGGGGGCCGGTCGGGCCCCGCCCCTTCTGTCCGTCCGGCCCTCGCTCCGCTCCCTCCCCGTCCCGCAGCCCGCGGGCGGTGCGGGGTCCCGGCGGTACCTGGCCGGGGTCGGGGTTGGGATCGGGGTGCGGTGGGGTGCGGTGGGGTCCGGTCGGTCCCGTTCGGCGTTGTCTCTCTCCGCCCCGGCCCAGGTTAAATATCGCCGGGGCCGGCGGGCGGGAGGAGCCGAGCGGTCGGGAGGGGCCACGGGCGGGAGCAGCCCCGCACCGCCCCTGGCTCCGCACCGGCCCCGGACCCCCGGCCGAGCACCGGCTGCGCACCTTCCCCTGCCCCGCAACTCCCCCCAGCCCCTCCCTCACTGCCCCCGGTCCCTCGGCCCCTCACTGCCTCCGCACCTTCCTCGTCCCCGCACCGGCTCCGCAAACTTTCCAGGCCCCTCACCGCCCCCGGGCCCTCCCCGGCTCCTCCCGCTCCCCGGCCCCGCACTGGCTCCGCACCTTCCCCGGCCCTGCACCAGTCCCGCAACCCGCCCCCGACCCTGCACGGCCCCCGGCCCCGCTCCGACCTCGCCCCTCCCAGCCCCGGGACGGTCCCGCACCGTCCCCTGTCCCTCACCGGCTCCGCACTCCCCCCCCGGTACCTCTCGGCCCCGCATCATGCCCTGTCCCGCTCCGGCCTCGCTGCCCCGCACCCGCCGCTGCCCCCGGGACCCTCCCGGCGCTGGGTGGGGTGGGCTGGGGGAGAGTTCCTGGGGGTGGGCTGGGGCTGGGGGAGCGCTCCTGGGGGCTGGGATGGGCAAGGGGAGCGCTCCTGGGGGTGGGATGGGAGAGGCTGGGATGGGGGGGCCACACGGGGGTAGCGCAGTGGGGCTGGGCTGGGGCTCTTGGGGGGCTCTGGGTACCCCCCACCGCCCGGCGGTGGCCGCGGGGCCGGGCAGGCGGTGCCCGGTGCCACGTCGTGCTGTGCCCTGCCAAGCCCGTCTCCCTCCTGGCACCGGCGGGCAGCGGGCCCCCCCCGACCCCCCCGCTGCCCTGCCGGGGAGGGCTGAGCCCCCCGGCTCCCTCGCTGTTCCCCACACTCGGGGGGCAAACCCAGGCTGGAGCCGGGGCTGACCCCCCCTGCCCTGCCCAGCGCGGCCCCGTGCCCCCAGTTCGGGCAGCCCCTTCTGCCCCCACGGTGCCCTCGGGGGGCAGCACCGCGCCCCCCCATCGTTCTCCCAGGGCGGATTCCATGTTTTTAAGCATCACATGGGGCCCTGTAGAACACTTAAGGAATGTAAATCCGCGGGGATCAGACCAGTCCCGCTCCCGCCGGGAAGCAGCTCCCCCAAACTGGGGGTGGTGGGGTGTCCGGGGGTGGCAGGAGCTGGGGGGCTCCTGGGGGGCTGCTCCCTGAGCCGGGCAGCAGGGGAGGGGTCCTCACAGCCCCCCTTACTGGGAGCCCTGGCCAGAACCCCCAGCTCCTGCTCCGGGATGGGGACCGGGTGTTCCCGGTGGGAACGGGGCGAGGAGCCCCCAGCACCGCAGGGTGCCCAAGCCGGGGTCCGGACCCCAGGGTGGGGGTACCCACTCCCCCCGCCACGGCCTCTCCAGGCCGAGGGGCCGGGGGCCTCCGCGTGCTCCGAATCGCTGGGATTCTTCCGCATTATCGGGACACAAAGGCTTCACACACCGCGCCCGGTGCGGGGGGATTTGGGGCAGCACCTGATCGTGGGGCGGTGGGGACCGGGCGAGGGGCAGCGGGACAGGGCTCCTGAGCGGGGCGGTGGGCACGGCCGTCCCCAGCGCCGCGACCCCCGGCTCCCGCAAGGCTCCCGGCGGGAATTTCTGAGGCATTCCCGGCTCTTCCGCTGGTTTGTTGTTGGATTATCCCGGCGAAAGAGAAACCCGGCTCAGAACAGCCCGGAGAGCTGCGGGGGGTGGGATGGGGGGGAGCGGGGCACCCGCTGCCGTGAGCCCCCCGATCCCCTCGTCCCCTGCCCTGAGCCCCCCGTGGTGTCCCCACGGCCGTGCCCGGGGGATGTCACCCTGCGAGGGCTGGGCAGGGATGTCACAGGGTGACATGTCACCCGGCACGGCTCCGGCACAGCGCCAGCGCCCCAAAGGGGACCCCGGCAGTGCCGTGCTGGGGGTCCCGCCTGGGGTCCCCTCCCGGGCCCCGTGTGTGTCCCCGTGCAGGGCAGTGCCAGCCGCTGTCACCGCAGGGACAAACCCACGTCACGGGGTCAGTGTCACCAAACGAGCCCGCGTGCGAGAAGGGGGCTCTTGGAATGTGGCCGGGGTGCAGCCGAGCCCCCGGATCCCACAGCAGGGGCAGAGCCCGTCCCTCTGCCCTCCTCCTCCTCGGGGATCACCGCTCCCGGGGCGCTGGGACGGACCCCGGGTCCTGCCGTGCTGGATCTCCCGCCGGCTCACGGCCACCTCGGCATCGGGTGTCCTGACGGAGCCACACCGGGAGCAGCTGCCCCTCGGCCACCCCGTCCCTCCCTGGGGCCCGGCATCCCGCTCCCATTCCCTTTTCCTCTCTCTTTCCCTTTCTCTTTCGCTCTCCCTTTCCCTCTCTCTGGCTCCCAGCCCTGGGAACCCAGGAGAAGCTTTAATTACCTTAATTGCCTCCTGGCTGGGGCCCCGGGGGAGGGCGGGGTTTGGGAGCAGCTCCCGCAGCCCCGCTCCACTGACCCGCTCCCCAAAAAGCGCCTTTGGGCGCTGCTGCGGAGGAGGGGGGTGGGCTGCGCCCCCGGCGTGGCCCGTGTGCCCCGGGAGGGACGGGGGGCAGAGCCAGGACCCCCAGGCAGGGCGGTGCCCCGTACCGGGGGGCCGGGACCCCCCCTGAGCCCGCCGGGACCCCCGAGGCCGGTCCCCGGCACCCCCGCAGACGGGCACGGCTCCGGAGCCTCGTCCCGCCGGGAGAGCCGGGCAGGAGCTGCTCCGGGACACCGGGATCCGCGTGACAGCCGCGGGAGCAGCCGGGAACAGCCGGGAGAGGGGACAGACGCGTCCTCCAGCCTGAAAGCACGCGAGTGTCCCCAGGGTCCCCAAGGGTCCACGGTGTCCCCACTGTCTCCAGTATCCTCAGGATTCCCGGTGTCCCCAGCACCTCCAGGATCCCCAGAATCCC